AAAATATGAATTGCCCATTGGATTCTGCCCAGTCCATCCCACACACCATGGCAGCCTCATTCGCAACGCTGACACGCAGTGTCTCGAGAATGTCATTTGGACATGTGAATCCCTTTAGCCAAATGACGCGATGAAATTCAATTTCGCGCTTCTGGTAGAGCTCAAGAAGAGGCTCTAATGCAAGGTTGCGCATGTAGGCTTCTTCTAAGGGGTAATATGCTGCAGTTGCGTCTTCTGTCATCCCAGGGACTCGTCGGATTCGGAAGGAGACGCCCAAAAGGGTCAGAACGGCTTCACAGAGGTCGGTAAGGGTGGACGTAGAATCTGTAGAGTCATAGTCCAACATAGACACAAAGACATTGGAAGTACCCAGTCGCTTAGCAAGTTGGACGATGACAGCTAGTTGATCGACCAGGAAATGATCAGCTGAATGAATTGCCATTGCTACAAAATAAAGCCGGTCATCACTAGCGAGGTCATCATAGGCATCTTCGTCGACATTCTTGTTTTGTCCAAATGGGCGGGCTAGTGTCGGACAATAGGCGGCCACCCAACCATTGAGAGATAACAAGCTCTCGACAGCAGTTAGAACATTCTGGAGATCTGCGTGAGCAGTGTCCTTCCCCATTATTCTAGTCGGCTGTCGCGTCAGATATCATGAAGACTTGAAAAACAACTTACAGTGGTGCTTGAAACCGGTTCCAATAATCAGTGACCCCGTTGGCTATGACATCGTCAAGGATATCCTTCCTGACATCTCTCCCTATCCTCCATTGCAGAAATTTGTACTTTCGTACATTTAGAATCTTGTCTACACCCGTGACGCGCTCAAAGACGTTGTAGGATTGGAGGACTGATGGCTCCAGTGAGGATGAAGAGCGGGGGCTAAGAACCAGTTTTGCACCAATGATGAGAGTCAGGGCAATAAACACCTTCGTCAGAAGGTGACGCCTTGGAATGAAGGCCATCATAGGGACTAATATTCAGACCTCAGACTAGACTGGTGACCAGGCAGACCTGCCCTTCTATGAGGCGATAGACCGTGACAGAGAGCGGGTTTTCGGCGTAACGTAACTTGGGTCATGTTGGTCTATCGCTGCTGTTAATTAGTAAACATAACCAAATGTGTACTAATGGTCATCCGACCTTAGCTCAGTTGGAAGAGCGCGAGACTGTAATTGGAAAAATGTCATCTTGAGGTCGCCTGTTCGAGCCAGGCAGGTCGGATTCTTTTTCCTGGCAGACGATAAACAACAGGTTTGCTGCCATTCTAAATTTTTGACACTAGTATTTTTCTGTATGCTTTATTTATGTAATTCACGCCAACAATTCTTGCCAAGCTTCCTGATCTCTGCAACTACCGCCCCTGCCGCCCCGCGCCCGTGTGGTCTGGCTTGATCTCAGGTTTATGTAGCTTCAGCCATGACATATAATGAAACTCAAAAGACTCAAATAGTAGGTGTGTTCCCTTGAAACCCGCCAAAACACTGAGCAATGACAGTGAGCATACATATTGGTGTCAGCTACCTGCATTTCTTTCCCTCTGGCACACATTCCTACACGGAGACCAGCATATTGATAACTTCCATATAATTGAAACATTGACATCCTCAACATCATCTTATACTTCATCGGACAGTGCTGAACACTTCAGTTGATTCATCCCAGACGAAATGTCATTACATTCCTGACAGCCCCCCACAATGTGCAGTCATTCCCACAGATCCAGACCATAAAAACTTCAGAGGAACACATTTATGCACACTATCTTAAAACGTTATGACAAACATTGCGTTGATCATTCGCCCGGATGACGTCTAGTTTGCAATCGTGAGACAGTTGAGTTTCTTTGTCAATGGAAACGCAATGGCCTTTCGGTCATTGATCTCCGAAGGCAAGAATTGACATTGATGGTGCAGCAGGAAGCGAGGAGAAGAGGACCGGGACCGCGTGGGCGGCCTATGTCTGTCGACAATGAGAGCATTCCAAAGCGTTTTTCCGCTTTCCGGTCCTGTTTTCTGCGCTTTCCGACGGCATCGACGAGATCAAAATCCGGGAGGCGTGGCGTGAGCCGTTCGTCGTCTTTTTCTTCTTCATGCGAGCTTCTTTGTGAGAGGCACGTAGTGTCGGGTCATGTGTACGACTGCTCAACCTCTTCTAGACTTGCCGAAGAATAAGGATGCTGACCAACCCAACGGCGGCCCGTTCTGCTGTGAATGGTATCCTGCTGGTCCGTTTTTATGCTCATGTTTCAGTAGGCTCCTCAGAAGAATGACTCTATGACGTCTTCATGCGAATTGGCCAGTATCAGATCGAAGAGTGGGCGGTTGTCGCCGAAAGCCTGACATGTGATGGATTGTGGTCAATCGAGTGCCTAACTCAACCAGACTTAACACGAGGAAGGCACGGTGAGTTGGGGCCAGGTCCATTTTGGCAACATCACGTCTTCCCGTAATGATTCACAAAGTTGCCCAAGTAGTTGTTCCTGAAGTAGGTTCAACGCCACGACAATCATGAAATCGAGTGTAATCCATACTTGTCGGCCATATACAATAACGCCGTGGTCCAGGCTGGCAATTATCCTGCTTTTGAGAGGACACGTTTCTTCGCGCGGGAATGTCATCACTCTTAGTTTGCTATTTGTGTCCATAATTAAATGGAGAAGCAAGCGCACGGAAATGGGAGTTGTACTCGTGAAGCAGGAACCGCAAGGCTGAAAGGCACAAGTTTCGGTGTCACTATGCCCAAGAATGGCAATAGGTACGATTGCCTTCCTCTCCTTGGTGGGCGGCGGCGCTTCACTCGGCAACTAATCCCTTCTTCCCTTTGTCGATCTTCACCCATATCAGGAACCTCTCGCGAGTAAGTATTAATGATGTGCTTGCTAGACTCTGAAAACGTACTAAGACAACGCCTTATTCCTTCTTCGGATATTCGACACCTCGGTTTCAACTTGGTCGACTTTGACAGTCTGGCATCATCAACTGATCTTTTTGGTTGGCAGTAAAGTCATCGTGAACTTGCGCAGGGCGTCCTGAAAAAGGGTATCGCGAGCGGTGGTCCCTATCTTGGATCATCAATGTGCGTACGCAAATCCTTCGAGTGCTTCACCATTCTTTTTCCCATGTTTGACGATATCTTCTGATGGAACTCACTTGAAGAGTAACGCTCCGGCGGCGGCAGGCACCTTGATGAATCCCCATCTTTTTGCGAATGTGTCAAAAATTTATGTGGCCATGGTACGGATTTCCCTGGAAGTAGCATCTATTCCAAGTAGGTTGAGATGGCATTTCGGCGGAGTACGGAAGCACATGCTCTCGAAGCTGTCATCCCGAAGATGGGAGAATAAAAACGAAAGCGCCATGTAAACCTTTTGCCCGCATTTAGCGGATTACATGGTGCTTCTTGAGCCGATGGCCAATGTCAGTGTTTTTAGGGTCCTTTCCACTATCAAGGGCATGCCTGGATGTGACAGTAAGCTTCAAGAGGAAATGGGGACGACGGAAAGTATACATCCAATGGATTGTGTATAATGAGTCTTGTGTATGCAGAAAGTGATAAGCACTGATAGAAAACTTCACGGAGCTGCGGAGGCAACGGTTTGGAGGGAAGTGATTTATTTTCAAGCTGGTCGCCGCCTTAGTCCATTGAAAACCTTATTATACCCTGGAGTCACATTTTGATACTCTGACTCTTCAGATTTTTAGACATACCTCTATAGAAAGTTCACATTCGAAAATGAGCGCCATCTTATTACTTGAAGTCGTTCACCTTTCGGCTTCGGGCGAGGACTCTCAGACCCAGGCTAGCTAAGCACAGTTGCATAACCAACTTCTTTGAAAGTCTGTGCCCGCAGAATATTTTAGGCGAGAATGAGATGGCAGATATGATCTGTTCGAAAATTTAACAGGAGTCGTCCAGTCAGGTCCTGAGACGCAGTAGTAGTGAGCGCTTGAGCACTTTCCAAGCTTTAGATCCTAACACAAACAAACAATACGCTCTGAGAGAAGTTTGCAAGCATAATGCTTACCATTGATAGTACTATCCGCAGATCCCCCAAGGAAACTTTCTTTGCTAAATAGTGAGCTGGTATACCCTATGTAAGTCACATTTCATAATTGGGGTTGAATTGTACGATGTCTAATTGGCGTAACGGGTAGGTCTACTGCTCCATTCAACAGCCTGAGCTCCATTAATATTGCTGATTCTATCATTGATACAGTGTGGCCTCGCAATGCGTGTCATCTTACCTTCCGGTCTTCCCGGGGATCTTCAGAAGAGTGTCTGAGAATTTGATACGACGGACCTCCACCCACGTCTCCGTGCGCGAAACGTCAACCGTTATCAGCTAATACTGACAACAAGTATTCGTCAATCCAGTTGGCCAACTCGTAAGGATCCTCCTTTACAGGTAATGCGCTTCCCACACCTCCTACATGCGTAGCTCATTGTGCCCATTTCTAACATAGTATCAGCAGCCGGTATAATACGACCGTCAAGGCATTACTTGGAGGCTACAAGTGCTTTCGGGAGCGAACCGTGTTGCATTTGTGAGCAGTGAGCTGCCATTGTCAACTTCTTATTACCGTACCTGTGAAGCTCGGAACGCCTCATAGGATCTTTGTTTCATCCTGCTATTGGTTGATTTTCGTGACCGGCGTACTGGACACCTGAAGGGAATGCGGCTTCATCACTTCTTCATTTGCATGGCAGTGTTTGTATCAGGCACACTTCAAAGCTTCGATGCCTACTCCGAACTGTCTTCTGTGCCTTTGCTGCACGTGGCCATGGTAAGCGCAGCTCGAAGGAGGGGTAGTCACTGCTTTATGTTCTACAACGAAAATGCTATATAGTCTGTCTCGTCAATGTGCCGTAAGCCTCACAGACACCCATGGACGCTTATTATTCTCGCACACAGCCTACGAGGTCGCTGGTGAGTTACTATAACAATTTGAATTATCTCCGTACTAAGCCTTCAACTCAAATGTTAGGCTGCAACCATGCCTGCGGGTCGCGAGCACTGCATTCGGTGCCATAAAGACTTCTCAGTCAATTACCCCTCGGCCTGCATCGTACCCCACGTGTTTGACTCTCGCTGTGACCCACTTCGTCTTTACAGTGGAGAATTTCAATGGATGTCGGAGTGTTGCGGGGGTTATGGTACTGTGACGGAGGAAGAACCTGGAAGTGGCGTCTTCCGTATGATGGAACTCACCGCCTGTTATCGTGGTCCGCACACGACGCGCAAGGACGTTGTTCGACTCCAATACAATGGTGTGAGCATCCTTAGGTGCAAACACAACAGGTCCGGAAAATGCATCCGAAACCACTTGACGCAGAGAAGTAGACCGGTTTTTGACAAGGAGGTGGCGTATTGCGATGGGGACGAACAAGACCGACACCATGATGGATAGAGGCAGATTGTGTACCATTTAGCGGCTGAACGAACTAGAGGATGATTAGGACTTTGTTGGGAGCCAGCTTTTCGCCTCTGTACTACACACCCTCGGAACTTGCATTGCAGCCGCTCATACTAGAGTCCATGTCATTATACGACATCAACTTGTTCCTCGTCCGCTGGCGTGGGAGTCAATTCTACCAAGTACGAATCAAGGACATGGGCTTTCTCATTATTATATGATCCCCCGCGTCACTTACATTACAACTTGCCCCTTACATTTGCCTTGGATAGAAATTTCTAACAGGTCACTGATATCCAAGCACAAAAAAAACTGCCCAACGTGACGGTTTTACCATGACGCTGTACTTCCAACTTCTGAGCTGTCCCGACTAGATCACACCCTCTGAAGTTCTCACAGCTACCAACTTTTGTGTGCACCTCTTTACATCTGGTGAGTCTCGTGCCCTGCTCTTTTTTGGCTTTGTTTCTCCACTACTCATAATTTTCTCGCGCACTGCGGCAACATCAAATGGTTCAAACAAAGTCATGTTACACTCCCTGGGCTTAGGCTGGTATGTAATCCACCTTTTCCTCCTTCCTACCCACTTTCCCCCCCTCCTACCCTCATTCTCCCCCTCCCTCAGCTTCTAAGAGACTTTACTTCGCATGTTTTACTATATGTGCATATTATCATGAATAAAACAGAACATTTTAGATCAAGGAACAATTGTCCTGCCAGGGGCCTGAGGTGCAGGAGCTAACAATGGCGCTCGTGCAGATCCTGTACACTTAGCATGAGCCCACACAGAGATTCAATCTTTTTTATGTTAATGTGTTAGAATATTGTAATGCTTAAACGGCTTCGGCAATGTGCGTGTAGAGGCGAAATATCACGTGACGTATCGGGGACCCGAGCGATTGGCCTAGAGACTCTAAGAGAGTGAGCTACAAAAGGGATTTCGAGTCTGGGGGAATTTGGACACTCAAAGTGCTACAACCCCCGATCAGCCAAACTGCGACTCGATGTCTGTGGGACATGTGTAGAATTAAATTGCTTGACGTGAAATCGGGCATCCTTTGTGCTCCGAGTCAGATTCAGACCCGTCCAATACTAATATGCCTCCATCCAGCGGTGCATGTCACGGTGATGAAGTTCCCAGTCTGGTATGTGGCGAAGGGGATGCTTGATGAAAACATTTTAATTCTCGTAAACTGATCGATTTAAATATGGAGAGGTAAATTGCATAATGGTAATGTCCTTCCCAGAGAAAAAAGCTAGACTCGTGCCTCACAAACGGACTGGTCACCAGTCTAGAACAAAGCATAGCTGTGATATAATATACGCCCAAACATCGTGTCGAGAGATCGGTCTAACCAAAATGCTACGTAGCTATAACCCCAGTCACCGTGTCCACATGCCCGCAAGCCCCTGAAACGTAGTGTCCAAAAATACAACAATCTACCAGTAGTACGACTGCACTAAATACCTAACTAAATAACAGAACGAGAAGTACTTCATTAGCTCAAAATTCGATGTGCTGAGGCTCATGCTCTTCGGGTTCAATGATCTCTCCCTCTGCATTGAGTGGCCAAAAAGAGTTCCTGAAGAAGTTGTCAGGGTCATACTTCTTTTTCACCTCGCACAGCCTAGCCCAGTTCTCCCCATAGCAAGCAATGACACGACCAGGAGGCTCTTGTCTGCCCAAGAACTGTCGGCGATATGAATGAAACAAATTGGATGTGGGTACAGAGGAAACGCATACGCTTGGCAATGGGCCACCGAGCGTCACCGGTGCCAAAGTTTCTGCAATCCACTCAAGAACATGGGGCGTGAGTATAAGAACAAGTAACTGATGATAAAATGTTTACCTCCTCCGCGGAATGGACACAGCGCGGATCTTGGAATTCAATATCCCACTGATGCAACGCGGCAACAGTAAAGGAAGCCTGGCGTTGTGCCTTCGGTATACAATTATCCTCGAAATCGACAAGTGCGCCACCAGCCAATTCGAACAACCACGCTGTACCCATGATGCAATAAGAGATCGGAAACGAGAACGGGACAAAAAAGACATACTGCAGCCAACAGGCGTGTCCGCAAATTGAAGGACCGTCTTATTCACGATATCATCCGGAAGCGAGCTAATAAGCGCAGATCGTATGAACCACTTGTTTCCTGCTGTTAGTAGCAAACATATCAGAACACACATGTTGATTCAGTAAACTCTACTGCTCACCTTTTCCACGGAGAACCTGCGCAACGCTGTCTTGTTGATGAAGAAAGGACTTCTCATCGACCTCATTGAGAAGACACCGTTCCCCGTCCCACGATGAAATAGCCTGTAAGAACTCCTGGCCCTTCACCTTGGGTCCGACGTAGCACATCTGGATAACGACTAGGGAATCTTGCCCTGCAGGGCCAGCAGTAAGCAGAACATTAGCATACAACTCCCGGGGAGCACCCTTGACACAGTCGCGAAAGTGCTTGATTAGTGATGGTGCAGTTGCACGATGAAAACGACTGTGAAAAGTAGCATGACATTCCGATCCAATTCAAACAAGAGACAGTACTCACTAGATAAGATTACCCGCGAAGACGACGGGAACCGGATAAGCTCTGGCTTTGTAGCGTGTGACAACACCAAAGGCTGGGCCAGCACCACGTAGTGCCCACCATAAATCTGGACGCCAGTCAAGACCAGGTGAATACTACTATATGTACGACACATACCTGGGTGTTCATTATGGTTAACCAAGACGATTTGACCATCTGCTAGAACAACTTCTGCTTCTACCAAATTGTCACTGCTCAAGCCATGAAGACGGCCCAGGAATCCAAAGCCTCCCAAGATCATGATTGCTGAACCAACGGGATGAGCCGCACTAATCCACAAGGTAAATGAGAATAAAATCCGAAAAAGAAAACAGCTTACGATGGGACGTGATATGGAACAGCGCCACGTCCGCCTGCGAGTGACATCGCTTCTAAAGGGTTTGCGGCTGAGAACTGATCGATTTCCTTCTGTCTCTTTCCTGCACCAAAGGTCATGAAGGCATGAGAGTAGATGGGCATTGCATAAGTCAGGATGTTAGTCGAAGACTCGAGGAAACTCGGGGTAGCAAACAATGCGTTGGGCATGGACTGGGCAAGCCGAGAAGTGGAGGCGACAGGTGGTGCAAGATTGTTGGATGTATCATCTAGGTAGGAAAAGGGATCATCCAATGAGGATATACACGGGGGCGGCTTTGAACTAGTATCTGGCAGCGGAGGAGGTAGGGCAACATCGGTAGTGGCACCGTCCATAGATGGGATATGAGAAGCCAGGAGGTTGGAAGGCATGGGAATAGAAGAACCAAGTGAGTTAGAGGATAACAACGTCGTGCTAGGCTTCTGACTACTGCTCGACGTCGCGGAATAGGTGGACATCTGTGGGATCTCCAACGTGGGAGCTGCGAATTCCAACCTCCGTCGAGTGGCGGGAGGACGATCGGCAAATGGAGCGGATGATCCCCCTGGGTGAAGAAAATCTGCGACAGTTGCAGATGCCAGGTCGTAAGACAACTCGTGGTCGTCTTCTCTTCTCCGCTTACTGCTAGTCGCAGCATCAGATCTATCTAGAAGCGGCGGGCCAGCTTTGACCTTGCCTTTGCTGCCAAGTACAGGCATGTCTCGAATGCTGGTAAAGGAGCCATCAGCGGCAGGAGGTTCAATGTCGATGTCGGTAATCTTGCAGAGGTCGATGATAATGTCGCCTCCAACTGCCCAGCCAGCGGTTCCATAGCCTCCTGCCTTGACAGAAGCAGAAATTGAATGCTTTCTACAAAACAAAACAACTCTACGGGGATAATTGAATATCTGACAGGTCTGATAATTGGAAACTTACTGGCTAACGTCCAGAGCATCAAGGGGACATACGACAGCCATAGCGTGAACTTTGACGTCGCCATTAAACATTCGAGAATAGTCTAGAAAACTAGAATGGCTGTCAGAGGTGGCGGGGAATAGAATGGGGATATATAGTACCTAGGATCATCTCTTCGGTATGTATCTCCGCTAATGGTCGATCTTAGTTCTTGGTAAAGGACATCGGACAGAGAGGGAAAGATGGAAGTTCCAGAAATTCCCTCCATGAGTTGCTCAAAGGCAAGATTGAAAGCGAGTCCAGAAGAGGGGAATAGGGAGGTTCTGGGTACGAATCCGACTGGTTTTTAAGGAGGATCGTGAATGTAATTAAAATTTAGGTGAATTTACAAAATAAATAGGATTGCTTGCCAGGATGCAGCTGCATACTGTGCATAGTCGTCAAACGGGAGCATCGGGTATTTTGGAGGCGATGAACTAAATTTTTGTGTTAGTGGAACTGTTTGCGCGGAATTGGCGCGGAAGTTATTTTTGCTCCAACATTTTAATTGTGGATCGATCGGCAAAGCCGTTCTTGGAGCAAACGTTAACCCTACGGTCACCCCGAATGTTCCAGATCTCACTCACAGACTTAGCCAACTCGGGACGTGATCAAACATGTCTCAAACGTTTGAGTCCCCTTGAGTTTCTGCGGAACTCAGTCGACTCAGCGACAACAATCTGATGCCATCTTGTACTAGTAGTAGGCCGATCGTCACCCTAGCTCGTAGTATTTCAAATCCCAATTGGTCATTAGGTACGTCACGCGTCACGCTACACGGCAGGTTCTCGTCACAACCGTGGAATGCCGCTCCAACTGCGCCCAATATGCACTGGCCCCAATCCGTCAGGCTGGAGCCTCACGCGCACGGTGAGCCTACTACGTTCTAGATCTGATGGTCCGGCTGCTGTACGTATTCCGAAGATTTACTTACCTAAGTCACTTCACCACCTCATCGAGGCACCATCCGCTCCAATCGCCCGTCTGACCGCCTTGCCCTTCTTGGCAACATGTTGTGAGTTTCAATAATCGCTGTTTCACGCAGCCAGAGGACATCTTCCATTAACATAAGCTAGCTGACCTCACCTGAAGTTCATATTAAGACCATGGTCCAGTGGCGCACGCAAGATCGTCTCATTGAGGTATACTTATCATTAGATTTACCCCCTTAAGGTTTAGCGCAAGTACGTCCACAGCTTAACGCCCAGCAAACTCCATTGACCCATCTGATATCTAATAACGTCAATTAGTCCCACACACTCGCAACTCGAGGAGCCAGGTCCTGCCAAGCTTGGACAATGGCGCGTGACTTAATATTCGAATGCTGTGGGCCACCGAGATAACCAGACAAGTCAACTATTTGCAAGCACATTGGAGACAGCTACCTCATCCCGGCGCGTATGACGCTTAACATCCCTTACCAGTGCGTGGTGCCAGTGAAACCCTCAACGGCAGTTGAACCCCATTCTCAACTTCACCTTCTACTACTGGAACCATCACCAAGCAAGCCTCCCGTCGAACAAGTTCGGTTTTATCACTTGTGGCGAACTCAAACCTTCCAACTATCTCCGTAAGAAAAGCTTGGATTTCAATCACCCTGGGTAAACGTTTACATTAGATTCACTCCACCGTTGCCGGATGACCCGTTAACACTCACGCGAAGCGCCATCCAATACACGACCTCACTCCTCCGAGGAATGTCATTCTAGAAACAAATTGGGGTTCATTCGTGTTGCAAGTAAGAGACTAACGCTCACAAATTGGAGTACACCCCTATTGACGTCACCTTTTCTTTCACTGTTCCATTGAGCCATCTCTCCGGATTGAATTCGTGTGCATCCTCGCCCCAAAGCTCCTTATCCCTGACCGATATGAGCGCACCGTCAGAAGAAAGAATGTTGGCGCTAAATGGAACCTCTTACCGGTTGTACGCTGCAAGCGATGCAATAATTCGCGTACCCTTCGGAACCGGTAGCTCACGGATGATGTCCCCGGATCGCGCGGTGATTGGCTGTGACAACGGAAGGACGTCATCTTCGTTAGCGTACCGGTGTACATGATATACGACACAACAAAATCTCAGAACTTCCTATAATGGCATAGCGTTGTGACAGCCCAAATAATGCTGGTATGACGTCACGCACTTTTATCACAGCAGTAGTATATGGCATAGCGTCAAAATCAGCGATTGTGAAATCGACATCCCCGCGTGCGTGCACAGCGGCTTCTGTTTCCCATATCTCTTCCCGAAGACGGGATTGCATTTTGGGCTGCTTGGCTAGCTCGAGAAGCCCCCAACTGACGGTGTTCGCTGTCGTCTCATGGCCTGCAAAGAGGATAGTACTGTGTAATTACAACAATCCGTGATCGGAAAGCTGTGCAAATACAATAAACAGAACGAACACACCGAATCTGAGCATGCAGCTCCTCTTCCGTTAACTTCGCCTTCGCATCTGTGTCCATATTGGCTTTAACTGTGCTATAATTAGATGGCCTATACTTATTTGAGACTGTCGAGAACGACGACCCACCAAGTAAGCTAAAGATATCTCGGCTGCCGTCGCCGCGCAATAGCATCTCCGCCTTTTCTTTCACCAGCTGCTTTGCAACAGATTTTGCCGTTTTACCTGCTTCGCGCATGCGCACGATACGTGGGTTTTTAATCATATCTGTGAGGTATTCGAGAATCCGATATGGGATATACTTTGAAATCCCCAGAGAGAATATCTGCCCATCTGACGGAGATCCAAATACGTCACTCCTATTGCAACGAAGATACGTTCGATTCAGATCAATCAAGGGAAACCCAGATGCTTGACAAAGTCAAGACTGACATTATATTATTATATGAGCGCGCAAGAGCCTGAGCGCTTTCATTATTATCAGTGGTGCTGAAGCGGATATCAAAAGCAGCTGAAAATGAGATGAGAAAAAGATGCTTGTGTACCCTGAATAGTATGTACCTTCGCCGATAGCATCCAAGGTTGCGCGGGACAGCCATTCAGAGAGATTGAACACTACTGACCCCTCCTTAGAGTTACTGATTATCTCCGTCCATTTGTCGCTCATCTGTGAGAATTTACGTTATTGACGGGTGTTGAGAGTATTTGAATGACTTCGATGCCTACAGACTCGGCGCAATTCTGGAATATTGATAAGAAGGCTCTGGACTCCGCCGCACCGAATCCAGGAAGCATTACTCTTCTGTGTCGTTTGTGATCGTCGCCTTCAAAAGTCAACTACAAATCATTCAATGTTTTGATCTGTGGCTGAAGACCTACCCTCAGCCCAAGTAATTCCATTTCCGTTGACCATCTTGGTGAGGATGCGGCGCTCAGGCGGTTTGGGAAAGCGATAGCCTTTATTTGCAAATATGTATTGCAGGGCGGCCGGGTCGGAAATCATCAACTGGTCATTCTATGAGTCGGTGGAGGATCAGGAAATGTACTATGCCGCAAGTGTGAAATCTATTACATACGCCAAAAGAGCCCTTGAAGCGAACAACATTCCCATACTGAGCTTGCCACTTGAAATCAGCTTCTCCTGCCTGACCTTGGTAGAGCTCTTTCAGATTTCCTAGTAGTTATATCAGCAGCGGGGGGGATCTAGCGAGAGAGAATATACATGCCCGTGATGAACGATGTAGACTCTGGGCCAGGAACGTCTGCCAAAGAGATATGAGTGTATCGACGGTACACCCCATAGACAATCGCTAGCGCCACAAAACCAGCAGCGATAAAGACAGGATCCATGGTTACAAGAGATACGATTTCAAAAAAGTATGTGAGGCGGCATTATCAGTGTCTCTCTTATGGGTTGGATGACACTTGAAGCGTGACACGCACTCTTCTGCGGCTGCGCGTGCGTCGGAAGGAACAGACCTAGAAGTTTCCTGGTTGTGAGGCTGATCTTTTTATGAGTTGACGATTTCGTGCCAGTGAACTCAGTACAGGTGATACGCCTTGGGCTACAAGGAGAAAAATTAGATCTGTATTGATTATTCGTTCTGTAGATATACGTAGGAGTAGGTCAGCTCCAGTTTTTTCAAGGAACTGCTTACATGTAGTTAGACACTGCCCTGTCGGTATTAGGTAATGATGTTTATCCATATCGACTCCCGCGTTCTGATTGCAGCCATGATGATTCGATGGCCACCTTCTGATCATGATAGAACGATATGAATATGATATAGTACTCACTCGTGTCATTACAAAATTATGTCACGAGTGGTCCTCTGGGAGAGATCAGATGATGGCTGACGGTCATCTAGGGTTGTCAGGATATACGAATTGACGAATCATTCATGGCCTAGTTATCACTGGGGCGTGATGGTCGTATGATTTGGGACTTCAGTGTAGCCTCCCGTAGTCAGGCCGTATGGAAGGTTTCGTCATGATGATTTGTGTAAGACGATGAGCCTAAACGCGGCTTCAGGGGCTGGTGAGCCGATAAAGGCCACGTGTCAGTCATGGTGGCAATGCTGAACGTTGAACACACGACAGCAAATTACCGACACTGCGTCAAGCTGGACTCGCATGGACTTTTTATCGCAGACCTATATCGCCCTTCGCGGTCCAACAGGCGCCCCTCAGTCTGCGCAGGACACGATCGCAAAACTTAGTGACCGGTTATCTCCTTCTACCCTCCTTGCGGACAGACGCGCTGCTGTCCTTGCTTTGAAGGGTTTGGCTCGCGATTGCAAGGAAGATGTCGGCGAAAGGGCCCTTCCTGGTCTCCTCGAAGTCCTACAGAATGATGCGGAAATAGATGCAGAAATAGCAAAGGCCGTGCTCGAGACTATTACCCAGCTCTGTGAACCCGATGACGATTCCAAGGATCTTGCGTTGAAACACACAGACTACGTTATCAGAAACGAACAGGCAGTTCATGTTTTGTTCTCCCTCCTCGGTGATGCACACTTCTATACTCGTTATGCGACACTACAGTTGCTCTCGGTGCTACTACAGAACCGTCGTTCTCAAGTTCAAGGATATTTCCTCAAGGCCCCTGCTGGCACCTCCAGCGTCATTGCCGTCTTGGAAGATAAGCGCGAGATCATTCGTAATGGTATGTATTTTAGCTACTCCATCTCGTCCCACGCGTGGTACACTGGTAGACCTGCTCATACTACCTGTCTCGACAAAGCTGGATGTTGAACATAACTTAGTCCTTGCGTGGCCGTACTCATCCTTAAGTTCCACTCTTAAACGACAGTGTCCGACGCAGGTCTACCAAGCCTGCATAAGACTCGTTCATTTCCCTTACTAACGCCAGTACATTTTCAGAAAGCATCGTCGTGATCCAAATGCTTATTTCTCAAAGCCCTGACATACAGAAGGTGCTTGCCTTTCAAGGCGCATTTGAAAAGCTCTTCAATACTGTCACACACGAAGGTGGATTGGAGGGAGGTGTGATCTCACAGGACGCACTTCGATGTGTCGACAGTTTGCTTCGGTATAATAGCTCGAATCAGGTGATTAGTGTTCTTTGCTTGAAGCGCACTTTCATTGATGTTTACGATAGAGCTACTTCCGCGAAACGTCTCTTCCATCGTTGTTATGCTCCCTCTTACTTTTACCGTCCAACCTTTCCCTTCAAGATCCAGTTCCACAGGAGTTTGCATTGCAATTTTGGGACTCACAAAAAGTGGCAAATGTGTCACTGGTGCTTGGTATTATGGGAATGTTAGTTGGGTCTAAAGGTAGCGTCAGTAGATTCCAATATCTTTCCTACATTTGTTTCATAGTTTCTTCAGAGTCAAGAACTATCTGTCTTCGTGCGAGGCTTTGTCGAACTAGCCCTCGCATCCAATGCACCAACACCCCTCAAGACTCAGGTCCGTTTTATACGGCAAGCATCTCACGATATAAAACCTGATTGTATCTGTGCGTTAGGCGCTCCATCTCCTTCCTAGCACGTTGACTTTCCCGCTCTCGGAGGTGATTTTGACCCCCTATATGCCTGTGCCTGAGACACGCGGAGAAGAATGGGACAGATTGGAGCCGGCGTCCGCGCTTGATGCACTTGTAGAGCTTGCACTCCATGGAGAGTACAATGGGCTATACAGTGATAATCGTGCCAAGGAGGGACTTGAGCTAAGGAGTGCAGCTATAACTGTCTTCGATGTACGTCATTGTCGTCCTCCAGCAGAAAGGGTCGGCATTGATTCACTATAGAACTTTGTGCGGAAAGAGGATATCAGACAGGCCATTGTGCAAGGGATGCTTCCTCCTCAACGTAAGCAGCATCTTCAATACCATGCAAAAACGACTCAGATTGTATTTTCAGAATCAAGTGAAGTTCCGATGATATCGCCCCTTCTGCACTCTCTTTGCCTCTCCCCATCTTCCCCTCTCAACATCGCTGATGTGACCTCTACTCATCTCGCTACACTCCTCTTTGCTCACCTGCTCGCCGGCTCCTCAAGAGCAAAAACTGCGGCCCGATCTATCAAGCCTTCTTCCAGCATTCCGGGAGAGACTTCGGGTCCAGGAACATTTTTTGTCCCTGCAGATAATAATACTCCAGCGCCAACGCAGCCGGAAGAGGACGAGGAAGATGCCCCGCAGAGTTTGTTGCACCTCTTTTCCGAGAACCTCTCGTTGTGCTTCCTGTCTCGCTCAAGGGCTGAGAACGACCGTGAGGAACGCGAGTGGAATAGATTGATTGTTGGGTACATATGTCTGCTTGCACAGTGGCTCTGGGATGACCCTAAAGCTACGAGGGAATTCCTAGAAGCCGGCGGGCTGGGCACAGTGAGTCTTCCACCCGATTCTGCAAACACCTACGAGACCTCAGGAACCCATAGCTAGTAGAGCCTATTAACCAGACTTCTGAGTCAGAAGACCTCATACCTGGACTTTGCGCCTTTCTACTGGGCATCTGTTATGAGTTCAATCGGGAACCGGGAGAGATCACTCGGCACGTGTCTTTGATCCTTTATCTTTCACGCGTGTTTATATCTGCGTATTTAACAGCGCGACCATACATCCCATCATCTCTCGGTTGGGCATAGATGTGCTCCTCGGTCATATGTCTCGTGTACGAGAGCACGACTGGTTCAAGTCTATCAGCCCTGAATCCATGGTACTCCGTTATCCAACCAAGGCACTCCAAAACACTCCACCCGTTGAACAGGAAGGCGAAATCTGGCTTGACTGGTCTTTTGTCGACTTCTGGAAATCAAATCAACGTGCGCTGCCAGGTTTCTCTATCGCATACAATTGATTTGATGACTTCTTTGAAGATACCATCCAGAGAGGTCTGGCAACGGACCCTAGCACCCTGGCTTCATCGTCAGGTCAGGAACAAGATCCAGAGTATCACCAGTCACATTGACTTACTTGCGGTCACAGGTCCAAGTGCAGAGTCCGCAATGCTCATCAATTCTCTCAAAGACGTCATTCGCTCTCAAGTGCAGGAAATAGACGCATTGCAACTTCGTCTCAAGGAGCTATCAGTTGCTGAAGCTCGGGTACGTAGTCATGGATGTATCCAGACGCTGCTACTTACTACGATTAACCGACAGTTGGCTGAGTCAGAGGCGCGTATTGCGGAGCTTGAGGCTGAATTGCAAACATCAGATGGCAAGAAGAGGGAGGTCGAGAAGGAGCAGGAGGATCTTCTGGTCCTCCTCGACGACATGAGCACTAAGCGCAGACGAGACAAGCAGCGGATGAGAGAAGCAGGTATGGAGGTTTCCGAGGACGAGGCGGATGATGACGATGAAGATGAAGATGAAGATGAAGGAGGGGATGAGTAAAACACAGTACCCATCGATTTTCATTTTTCTAGGGTTTCTATCGTATCTCAACTTTTTAGACCTCAAGTACATAACGTTAGGCAGGATACCCGTATTCTCCCCGCGGTCGGCGGCATGGCTTGAAAATCAATCATTGCAAGAGTCTCCATTCTTCCATTGCAAGCACTAATGTTGCAGCTTAAAGCCACAAAGAAGTGAAATCTGCACGACAGACAATTGATGCTGGGAGTCCCTGACATGAATGACACAAGAAGTCTGCAATTGCATCACCCACCGGGCTACAGCTAATGTTAATGTTCCTCGAGCGACATAGCCGAACGTACGTGTGATGTACCACGAGGTCACCAGAACGGAAATGTAAGTGTTCGTATGCTCAACAAAGGGGGTTGTACGTGTTTTCCGATTATTCGGGGATTGTGGTACGCTAATTAAAGGAATAGCAATGAAAAGACGCAGAAGTCTAATAAAAGAGAGGCCAGGCCAAAGTGGGACAAGTGCTGAAAACAAGTGTACGATGAGATGGCGCTATACTATGCTATGCTATACGAGTGATCCGCGGTGAAAAAGATGGGTTATGTATATGAATCCGCAACGCGAAAAATAACCAAGAAAAAAAAATACAGGTTGTGAAGGTTCCGCTCCTGTGTGACTCCTATAGGTTTTACCTGTCTGTCTCTTCCGCACACCAGATATCCGGTGGTAAGCCAGCCTACTTATATAGCCTGTCCGATAGGAACATTGGTCCAAGTTTCCCAGAGTGCCTGTCGTGTACGACTATCTGCCAAGGATGACGCGAACATCATAACCTTCCACACATCCTGGAAATTGCTTCCGAGTCCTAGACTAATCCGCACAACACCAAGCTCGCGGCCGACCACTCGCTCAAAGTCTTTGAGCGTGACGCCGGGATACAGTTGCTTCGTCTGGTCTTGAATACCCAGTAACGAGGCTGCACCCCCGGGATTGCACATGCAACCTGTGCGAAGAGAAATGTTCCACGTCACCGCAACATATTCAATGAAGCTGTTTGGTATCATCTCCCCTGAAGGCTGCAGTCCAAAGTTTCATTAAGATGATGATATAGTGAAAGTCGGGTACTTGCCGAGAGGAAGATAAGAGAGATTGTAGATCCGCTGTCACCCTGTTCCCCAACAGATTTCAGTCTCCTAGAAGGAAGCTTGGATAGAATATTAACGACAGGGGTTCCAGTCGAATCATGTCTCAGACGAGAGAGCGAGGTGACAAGGTAATGGGTAAGACATGAGAGGCGGAGAGGGAGGAATGGCAGATATACAGAGAGAAATCGTAGACCGTCTGTGACCGCGGGTAACGTCATGAAATTGATGGTTCCATCCTAGCAATACGAATAAATTCGAAAGCACATAAATTGGAAAAGAAGCATACTTCAAACTGTTCATGAAGAACACTCGTTCTAGTAAAAATCGAACCTGGCACCTGGACGACATCAACGGTTCCACCAGCGAACCATGGGCGCTCCAAGATCTCTAAGAACGACTCCTTGACAATGAGGGCTCCGACGCCCGTTGGATAACCGAACATTTTGTAAAAGCTTACAACCATAGCATCAACAGGGGTTTCCGAAAGAGAAATGACGGATGACGGTGCCAGCGCGGCAGCATCAAGAAGTGTGTGGTATCCAAGTGAGGATGCAAATCCGATGATTGAGAGTGAATTTTTCGCGTTAGAGATATTGGAAAGGCCGGTTAGGGCAAAAAGTGAGGAAGCGTTCTGTGGTCTGTGCTGACTCAATATATCCTACCACGGAGAATCAGCATTCAGCTGCTAGTTACGTTGAGTTGAGGCGCATATACGCGCAAAGGACATACCTTGGCAGTAGATAGAACGAAACCTCCAGTACTAGTTGATGGGATGTAATGTACTTCAGCTCCGCGACGTGAAGCGTACTCTCGGATTCCATGGACGCTATTATGAGAGTCGGCACCGAGGACATAGTCACTATTGGACTTGAAGGGATATGCCTCCCCAACAAGCTTCAATGCAGCTGTTGCATTTGCTGTAAACACGACGGTGTACCCTGGCGGGGCTCGAAAGAATGAAAGAACCGTATCCCGCGCCTCGTCAGCATATCGTGATGATAACTTGGAGCTATGACTCAAATGAGTAATGATCGGCGACCGATTTATAGAAACTCCGTACCTATTACTGACCGAATGTGTGTTTCCCATGACAGCTTCGGTTAGGAATGCGCTATGAACGCGAACAAGGCTCTCAGGATATTGTGCCCCGCCCATGTAATCTACATATGTTTCACCGGTTCGATCCAATCTGGCGAAATCTGTTCTTCGGAGGGTATCAAGTATCCAGGTGCTCTGATATTCTGGGAACGATTTGAGAAATGCACTATATGCGCGTGCCTCAGCATCTTGTCGCGAGATCGAGGGCGTCAAGGGTGTGTATGTTGTCAGTGTCGGGTATAAATGAGTGACGTTCGGATTATGATTATGAGGAGGCGCCGAAGGTTTCTCGCACGAAAGTGTATCATACGACGATATTTTTGATAGTGAAGTCTGTGATTTGTGATATTTCAGACTGATGTGAGATACTGGAGTAGAATGATTATGATTGATGTTAACGCCGACGCGCTGTTCGCGAGATTGATGGGGAACCACAGAAGATGAGTGTTTGTTGCCCATGATGGTGCCTGTCGAATGATATTGGTGTAAGGGAGGGTCGGTGAACTACACAGTGCCTTTATATATTTGGAGGACAAGCGCCTTGGCATTTCAATCGGGTCAGGGTCACTAGGCTATGATCTGACCAATACCTCCAACGTCTGACCAATCCCTCCACACCTCCAATGGCGTCGGACAAAAGTCCATGAGGCTAACCAAGAAGTCAGTCTACGGTAATTGGTACCCCTGGCCGGTAGGAAAATGAGCCTAAGTTACAAGTGATCCAGTCTGGTCCAGTATTCGCCTTTCCATTTGAAAGTTTGCGTGTTCAAAGTCGGTGCTAGAAGCAGCTACCAAGTCAAACCTTGTATTTTTGTTGTAGTACTAATATCTTGATAATTGGATTACGCGTACGCAGTGTACACCAGCAAAGGGTCCGCGGATGCTATCCCTGACAGCTGATCAGTGGTCTTAGAGAGGGCTGTCTTTGAATGGACCTGACCTGCGCAGCGGGTACAATTAATGTGATGCCGGACCTTGAGCACAGGTACTAGTCACTAGACTGACAAATGTGGTGGTCCTGAAACACAATTTTGTGATAGCCTACTACGCGTTCATGGATCCTTCTCTTGACAGCATTCGTGCCGTGCGTGTGGTGTGCAGCCTGCAATGATATCTCGATACCCCACCAGTCCGTGTTCGGCTGCTTCCCTCAGCTCTCATACTTGCAAGCATGAGATGATGGTGGTATATTTATCATCACACCTGTCAGGGGGGTGGAAGTTGATTGACGCTGTTCAAAGTTCAGCAATCTTTGGTGCTAGAAAGTACTTGCAACTTCTAGAGCGGCAAGAACTTGAGATGGAGGCTAGATGCTCGAATTCAAGACGAGCAACAAACCTAACCTGGTAAAGTGAGAAGCAGAAGATCCTACTTAGCTCCTCCCATGTCGTATAAATATGTATGTGGAACCTACAGATACGACCAATGTCAGATGTGCACAACAAGTTCAAGGGCAGCTTCGTGTGTAACATTGACAGTCCGGGATTTGCAATTCAAAGAGGTGTACTGGTTGAGTATCTACTACAGGTAGCAGTGTCTGTTGTAGTCAGAAGGAGTGACCTGGAGTGACTTGCCCGATAAGCGGCGGTGATGTGAGAACGTTGCCGCTGCTGATACTAGGACGCGTCAATTTCCGGGCAGAGGTATGGGCACGAGTCCCACGCATAGCATCAGCCAGTTCGGACTAGAAATTTGACGGTCCACAGTCCTTTCGAATCCCGCTTGGCAACACTCAGCAGCACTCCGCACAGTGGCCTCTCTGCAGCACGCTCGCGCCGCTCAAAAAACTTCGGTAGCTCAGCGAAATCGACCGTGATATGTTTTGCCAAAGAAGGTGTCCGGTGTCCCTTCTGGGAAAGCGAGCCTGAGAACATTTGGCTCAAACAAGGGCTTACTAAGCGAGCGAATTAGCGACTGGATAACGTCCAGCAGAGTGTTGTGAGGCGAACCACGCTCTATTGCAGAGTTCTCGTCAGGGGCCTACCCTCTCCAACACTCTCGTTCTGTTTAGGATAATACTACTGAACCTAGTGGCAGTACAGGTTCTGTCGCACGACTTCAATCGCATCCGATGACCGGCCAGCTGCATCCAGTAACCATGACCCACCTGCAGGGTAGTTTACGGTAGGGGAACTTCGGGCAAGTGGGGTAGGAAGTTTCAGACCCTAACTTAGTCTCGTGGCCTTTGACTCGGAGACCCTCACCGAGGTGCCCTTTTCGGCCGTTTCCGAACAGAAAGGGATAATATGTTTCCGTGCAGAGACGATGCTGGACTGTTCTCCTTGATATCTACCCACTCGCTACTATTCCCCTTTTAGGTGTCTTGTCTAAGAAAACTTCCCAGATATCTCTGCCTCATACTCGAGGGTTTGTGACTGTGTCACCTCCGGTCGATTCTGTTCGCATGCGTGCGCATTCTATTTCGTCTTTGCTTCCTATTGACAGATATCTCACTGTCGACATCTGTCTGCACTGCCCGGCAAAAGCTGATCCAGACCACGACCAAAAATACTACCCAAACTGAAAAAATTAATGTCATCACTTTCCCACTAAATTCTGCACTCATACTCATTCTGTCTCAGTTGACTTACCGTGTGACCTTCTCAGTCTGTGAAATATTGCAGCGCTTCATTATGTTATTTCGCAGACTTCCGAAGTTCTCTCGTAGCTATCATAGTTCAATGAGTCATAGTGAGCTGACCCCTTCAAAAGTCTTTGCCATGACCATTTTTTTAGACATGTGTCATTCGAACAGGGAAAACGATCGCATGAAACTCGCTTGATGTGTCAAATGTCTTGGGCTTACTGTTATTCAACATATACCGGGTGCTCGATGCCCGAAGTTCTGAAGAAAGACCATCGGCACCCAAGGTCATATCGTCAAACAGCGGGAGGAGACTCCTTGTAACTAGCGAGGGCATCATTGATGCATTGATGGCTCACTTGGTGTGGAAGGCCTGAATGACGGCAGTCGACAGACCAGACAGGTGGCAAAATATACCTGCAGATGAGGGGGAGCACTGCCGCCGCGCGTCCTTAGCCGAGCCAAAAGAAAAATCCTACCAGCTACTCAAGCCAGATTATTGTGCATCATTAACACCACCCACAAAGCCCGCAACGCCATCTCTCTGAGGATAATAAGTGGCGGCAAAGATAAAGAAAGATGATTCAAAGATGGCGAAACCGATACCGAAACGGCCAGCAAGAGGTTGGGTAAAGATATGGTAGTGTTAGTTGCTTGAAGCGTGTTAGAGGCCTGGATGGCTGGGGCTTATCGGGTGCACGTGATTCTCGGGCCGGACTTTCGGATTTAACGATTTCTGCAGTAGTTCTTCGGAAGAGCTGTGCGTTCGACCTCGAGTCCTCGACAGTTCGAAGGCGAACACCGTTCAACGTTCGCAAAACTTCCCTGTTTCTTTTTCGTGAGCAAATTGAAAGTACTCACTAGCTACGTTCGCAGATATAGTCGAACTAAAGTGACTGTCTCGTTCTGTTGCACTGAACTCACTCAAGTCAGTCAAGCTCTTCTGGAGCAACATCGCCGTGGCTCACATCCTCCAATTCAAACGCGAGTCCCGTGAGCGTCTTCCGCTCACAACATTTTCATCGCTCGGTCAATTTCGCCACGTCCTTGCGAGATTCTTAACCGCAGCCATGTCTGATGGAGCCGTACCTGATGAGCCACGATCACCTCCATCGTCACAAAAGGATGCAGGGTTGAGGAAGCTCACACCATATTGGTACCCGTATACGACTATGGCAAAGGAGCGGTGGCTTGGGCGGGAGATCCTAGAAATCGTGTCAACAGAATTCAGAGATCGATCCATGGAGTACTATGTAGGTGCTTACAAGTCAATTGTTCGTTGATTCTCTAGAAGTCACTATTCATTTCACAGCGATACGCCCTTGAATCTGGAGTGACAACAATTAATGGCAAGGTCGCAAAACCAAACACAGTAGTGAGGAATGGCGATCGTATAGAGTGAGCGCATTTTTCTGCGTTGGAGGCATACCTTTATTCATTGTTGTAGGAATGTTGTGCACCGACATGAGCCTCCAGTCACATCTACACCCGTCAAAATTGTATTACATGACAAGAAGCGCGACTTTTTGGTTGTTGATAAACCTGGTAGCATAGTTCGTCCTTGGTAAATCTACTCACAGTGCAACTAATTCAAAGATGTGGTACAGCCAGTACACGCATCTGGTCGGTACTACCGCCACAGCTTGGTAGAGATCCTTCGTAACGAATTTGGTTTACCGAAAATTTATAGTGTGTCCATATCTACTCGAAAACAAACCTTACTAATTCACTCACAGCAATTAACCGCTTGGATAGACTTACATCCGGTTTGATGATCATACCACTGAATGCCGATCTGGCACGTTCGTTATCAGGCGAATTCGTCAATGGTCTAATCCGCAAAGAGTATATTGCTCGTTGCAAAGGAGAGTTTCCCGCGTGAGTACTTTTAATATCTACCCATATGGTTGTATTGAGGAAATGGGCATAGTGAGGAAACGATATGCGAAGAACCCCTCTTGACTGTTGATCGACAGATGGGCCTTAACATAGTACACCCGGAAGGAAAGGTACGCGGCGGCTTTAGCTGTCAGTGGAGTTGTTGACAGTTTGCAGCCAGCGAAGACGATTTTTAACCGGCTTCATTACGATTCCACGACCAACACGAGTGTGCTTCACTGTGAGACTTTTAGTTATACACTGTATTTGATGAACACATTCGTTCTCTTTAGGCCGTCCTATGACAGGTCGATGTAGGGCTCACACAGATGTCATGTCGGATGTTCCTGACCAAATTCGTTGCAGCCCATCAGATACGAGTTCATCTACAATATCTCGGTCATCCAATAGCCAATGACCCTGTTTACTCTGAAGAACGAATATGGGTGAGGGTCCTCGTGTGATCTCAAGAATGCCTTGTATAACATCCACTCCGTTCATAGGGAGCTAATCTTGGCAAAGGGGGCGTGGATGTTATTCCTTGCGAGCACCGTGCTGCACCAGCGCCACCAGCGCATCTGCTGAGTGATAATAGTCCGGAAGCTCTTAATCTGAAACCCTCCGACGACACAGACTCACCATTATCACTTACTTCGGAAGAGGAGAGCAATGCGAGAGCGAAATTGCTTCCACGCGAAACTGGACACGATATTGGAATGGGATCGCCTGTCCCGTTGTCATCTGAGACAGTGGAAATTATAACGAAACTCCGGCATATGAAGGTGAGCGATTCAAAGCATGAGCAAGTGTGTGACGCACTTATCGAAAATAGGACGAAGACGAAGATTGGAGTCGCTGGCGAGATGTCGTATTTCGAGCGAAGGCCTCACTCACACCAAAAGACATCCCTCGTGCCCCTCTTCCTCCACAGAACAAACGTAAAAAAGGAGGTCCTTGCCTCCCACAAACTCCTCTGCCAGAAGATATGTCCTTGGCCCCACAGTTGACTCAAGGGGAAGCTTTAGCACGGCTCTCGCAGATGGAGGCCCCCTCCCCAGCTGTTGACACAGTGACAGGAACACTGTATTGTTCAGAGTGCTACTTACCGCTACATCCTGATCCAAAGCCAGAAAGGTTGTACATTTTTCTGCATGCCCTTAGATATACCACAAGCCTCGGGTGCTTTGAGACGGATATACCAGAGTGGGCAGCTGAAGGATGGAAGTGGGACCAGGCCTAAGATGCACCTACGTTCTGCGATACTATTTTTACATTTCTGTGTGCGCATGTATCAACTACCAAGTACTAGTACTGCCCCAAGAAGCTCAGCGAAGTTTGTTGAAAGATTGTCCAGATTTTTTTGCCTGGTTCCTTCTGAATTCTATGTATATAGTTCACACCATCACATCACGGAGAACTTGGATTCGCTTGTACAGAACTGTCAAGCAAGTCACGAAGCTGTGCGAACTAGCATGCATGATATGATGATCTCAGGCTGTTGCTCACACGAACTTACGTAAGTTGCGATTTGTTTGTTCGCTGCGTAAAGTCGACAGCTTGAGCCTTCAACACATCAATTACTCAGACGAAGATATCTTGAATAGTCAAATCCATATATTCTTATTGAACATTTAGATTCGGATAACTTTATGGACAGATGGTGAGTCGCTATTCCTGCGTACGCTAATACCTTGACAGCTGATAGGTGACATGATCCTCCTCGAGACACATCATGACTATACAGTTCTTCCGACGTCGAGCGAGCCAAGGGAAGATGTCAGCGAGGGCGCTGACCCTATTCTAAAATCATTACTACGAGACAATAAGGGCGTCACGCTTTATACACCGCATGGAGGCTCTCTAGTTGTTCATGAAGATGGTCATACCTATAACTTTTCATATGGACCAAGCGGAATTTCAGGTCTAGTTCACAATCGTTATGCCGTTGCGTGCGCAGCGTTTGCTGGGATTGGCGGTGTTTCGTTCGGGTATGACCAAGGCGTTATTTCCAATGTCCTCGTCATGAAAGACTTTCTGGCTCGGTGGCCAATCGGACCATGGGAGAAAGGATTGATGAGTATGCGAAGCGGCGATCTCATTTAGTATCTCCACTCATATTTGAAATGACAGCTGCTGTTCTTGAGCTTGGCGCATTGTTTGGCGCTATTACGAGCGGAATCTTGGCAGACAAGTATTGTCGACGTCAGTCCATTTTCTTCGCATCTAGTAGGTCATTTGTTTATCCCAGAAAAGAGGTCTAACCATGGGCCTTCTCAGTCATTTTCTGTATTGGTTCGGGACTGCAATGCGGGGCGCAGTCGTTGAACGATCTTATCATTGGGCGAGCAATTGGTGGCTTTGGAGTTGGGGCCCTCAGGTAATTTCGAATAATGGGCTCTATTTATGTAACTGAGTGGCGATAGTATGCTTTCACCGCTTTACATGGCCGAGATTAGCCCTCCTGAGCTCCGCGGCTCACTCATGGCGCTTGAGCAGCTCGCTATCGTTCTTGGAGTTGTGTTTGGGTTTTGGACAGGTTTTCTTACGAGACACAGTTCGTGCTTCTGTCATGAATCTCGATTGTTCTCATTTGTTACATTGGGTTCGTAGTTGCCGGATCTGCTTCATGGAGAATTCCACTGGCACTCCAGTTTCTCCCAGGTATTTCGCTTTGCCTCGGATGCTTTGTTCTACCACCTTCACCCCGACTGCTGGTGCTCCATGGTCACATCGACGATGCACGGAGTACTTTAGCCAAACTTCGTTTGCGCACTCCTGACGAAGCAAAAGAAGATCCGTTGATCCAGGTACTTTTTCCTCCTATCTATGTCTACATTCAATGACAGCACCATAGCTTGAGCTATTGGAAATGCAAATCAACGTTGCTCTCGTCCGACAAAAATCAACAGATGGACTCTCACGCGAAACATGGTCAACCCTCTTCGGTCGGGAGTACGTCAGACGGACTCTTATTGGCATCATGATCATGTTCTTTCAACGTGAGTATCATCAGGTGTCATCTTCATATATTGCGTGCGAGTCTGTACCTAAACATGAATTGTCCTATAGAGTGGAGCGGTATTAATGCACTTCTTTACTATGGTCCAACTCTAGTTGAAAGCATAGGGATGCGCGGGGACACCGTCACACTTCTCGTTTCAGGTGGGATCGGAATCATCCAATTTCTTGCAGTTTTCCCGGCCATCATATTTCTCGACCGGTGGGGTGTGTGCTTTGTCTTTTTTGTAACTTCATGTTTTCTCAGTGCACTTCTCATAGGCCGTAAACCCCTTCTCAAAGGTTCCCATTTTTGTTCTTGAATCACCCACCTTGTGACTCACTGCAACAAAGGCGGCAGCGCAATTATGGCTGTGTCGCATTTCATGATCGCAATCTTAGTATGTCCCCTATTCATGATCAGCACATACTGAGCTACATGTTATACAGATCCACCTTTTTCATGATGACTGGGAATCGAACACTATAGCTGCTTGGGTAGCGGTGTTGTAAGTTTTTTTTTACTCAGCTTCTCTCCATTCATTCAGATGAAATGATTGCCAATAGTTGCACGTACATATTTACTGCAGCTTACGGCATGTCCTTTGGGCCCATTGGCTGGGTTCTTCCCAGTGAAGTATTCCCCCTTTCAATGCGAAGCAAGGGAGTTTCCTTATCAACGGCTTCGAACTGGATCAACAATTGTCTGTTCTGTTGTCTATTTCCGCGACTCATACTGACATAAGATCCCTTTTTTCCCCGCCGGCGTTCACCTTGTGTAGTCTTGATTGGCCTGATTACGCCGCCGCTGATGGAGATGTCTTCTGCGTATGTCTATCCTCCTCATTCATATATCCCAGCGGTGATATATCGTTTGCGGACTTTGCATTCTTTGGCAGTGCGACCTTTATGATTTTCGCGTGCGCCTGTTTCGGGGCCTACCTGTGGTCTAGTTATGTTGTTCCAGAGACGGCAGGCGTTTCTCTCGAAGAAATAGATGCAGTCTTTGGTTCTGCAGCAGGTCAGAAAGACCGCAAACGGAAATGCGAGGTATGAGATTGTCCTGTTTAGTCTATGTTGGTAGTCTTCCTATTCTCAACATTATTCTAGCTGGAACGCGAACTCGGGCTGCACGACCTAATTAAGGGCCTTATTCCTTCGGAGGCACTAGGCCAAGAGTAGCAACAACTCTAATGAATTCAACAAGATGTGGTATATACGTATCTAGATCAACCATGTTACCACGCTATCTAGCTACAATGTGTACAGTACAGCGCACTAATACTCCAGATGGTTCCTGTCATTATACATGTTGTTCTCCAAGAATACGAATGGATTAGTGAGCGTTCCGACTAATAAATATGATTAAGGTGACAAGCGTGTTAGGGCATGGTAAGGAACGTGACAAGGAGCGTATGATGTGTGGTGATGTGAATGCTGTGTGGTGCATCGATAAATTAATTGGAAGTAGTACGCCGCCGTCCTGTGAGAGTGCCATATGCGCCCGAGAAGAGTTTGAGCTTCCCGGAAGGAGTATCCGGTTGGTCCCGTGCCGTATGTTTGCGGCGGGAGTCGCGTTGCTGCGGCACAGGGAAGAAGTGCACCGAGTGATTCGCATTTTGGTACAACATGCGTGACTCAGATTCTGCAAACATCATACGCTGGGGAGATTGTGGCGTGTATGTATCGGGGGAATAAACGAACGACTTCGAATCCCATGGTCAGACACGTGGTAAGACACGGGAACATTAGTGAATGCTCACAACTTTGCGCTCCACCTGCATCACGACGGGATCAGGACCACTCTGTTCTGACTCTTCCGAATCGGTTTCCCTTTCCGCCTGTGACTGCCACACCCATGGCTTCTCCACCGGCAACTGATCCTCGTCATCATATACAGCTTCTGCCCAGCAGATATCCAAGAAAGAGTCCTTTGGAGCGTACAGAAGCTGCTCGTCTAGTGCGCCAAGACAAGTAACATCAAAATCCACTTCGCGTAAGGAGCTGTCAAAAATCCATATGGAGCGTTCAAGTCCCGCTGGTCCTGGGGTCACTGGTACTGGATCGACGACAATGGGGCTCAAAGAATTCTGCGTGAGTGGTGGGGGCCTTTTTGGCTTGTTTGAAGTAGATACAGGGTAGGGGTAGTCTTTGGGAGGTGGTGTAGGCGGACTCGGCGGGTGGAAGAAATCGATCGGTGTCGGTGAGCGTGGGGGATTAGGATGTTCGTAACGATACTCAGAGAATGCGTGTGCGAAGGAACTGTCAGGGATTTGCGTTTCTAATCCCATGAACGCGTCTGAGGTCGCTCGAGGGCGAGCAAAGGACTCTCCAGTGGGGGAGTAGAATGGAGTGAGCTGTAAATGCTGAATCAGAAGCAATAGGAAACGAAAAAGAGCATATTAGCCCTTACAGGGAAGTCGATGCATGAGTCGTCTATGCTTTTCCTGATAGATGTTGGAAAAGATATCTGAGTGAGTCTCGTAATGCGGGTCGCGAAACGGTCGCGAGGAGTGCATCTGTCGACAGTCAACCCCGTAGACTTCAAGTTCATCGTGATAATTTTTTACAAGGGGAGAGAGAGGAGGGAAAGGATTCGAAGGGAAATGCCACAGCAAGCGCAGACAACCAACACCTCGGGAGGGGGGAAATAGGTCTCGTCGTGAGGGTTCATCGCTATCTTTATCCAAAGCAAAAGTATGGGCGTCAAATGATGGTGTACCAACGCGGAGACCCGAAGCCAACCTTAAGTGATAATGAAACGTAATGTATTGCGTACTATGTGGGCTTCTCTGTTGAGAAGCGGGAATTGGACTGACAGGATGCATTGGGCCGCCGGGAAGAACCAGTGATCATGGGAAGGCAACACGATGACTGCATGATGGATCAGGTTAATCGTTGTAGGTCGTAATCGGTTCCCAAATGACCGAGTCGAACGAGTAAAATTTGGGCTTCTGCGGCGGAGCGAGTGATTACTAGGTAACAAATGAGTAAAGGAGATATATAACCCTAGGAAGCAAGGGTCAATCTTATAGGGTCCTCGAGTATCAGTAGTAGGAGCGTTAACGACCCTTGATGAAAATGAATGGCAATCCATCACGCTATATGGACTGGCATCAGAGGTGGGAGTGGAATTTAAAGCCGATTGGATGATGCCTTGGGTGTCATCCCTCCTTCATCTGTACCTTGACAAAAAATTTGTTGTCGGCTGCCATGACATGCCGTACTTGAACACGGATGATCGCCCACAGTCAAAATGAAGTTGTTGGAATTCTTCTCGTTTGACCAGTGATTGACAGACACGGCATATATGATGCGTAGTAACATCTTGAGGACGCCACCATGCCCCACCTGAATTCCGCTTGAATGCACAAATGGAATTTGTTACGGCTGGTGGAAACGGTTAGCTATGAAACGCCAGCATTGTTTAAGTTCAACCATACCCCATATCACTTAGCATTCTAGTAAGAAATAACGTATTTGAAACGTTGCAAAAACGTCCGTTCCTCGTCGCGAGGCCGTGTTGGTACTATGTTAGGGTTACACGTGTGCACAAGAAAGGCTGCGATTACTCCGATATATTGCTACTGCACAAATAAACACACAGAAAAGACAAACAACGCATGTAGTAGGTCACGAAAACGATGTGTAAGTCTCCACAAGGAGAAACAAGCTACGATAGCGGTATAGGCGTGAGTTAAAGAGAAATTAGCACATCGTCTCAGGTCGGATTCGGTATGGGACGCGATATGTGAGGTGTACAGTCCGTGTTGACGGGATTTAACGAGAGGCATAAGTGAAGCAATGCAACGAGCGTGGGGTGGGCGAGAAACACAATCGGACAAAGAGGATATAAGTCAAGTGTGAACATGGAATGGAAAGAAAGTAAAAGATAAAGCGGACACAAAAATGTGAGTAAAGTAACACTAACAACGGCCAGACTGAGAAAGTGAAGTGAATAAAGAACACAACAACCAATAGCCCAATGGGTCCCCCCTCACGAGGACATCCGAGGCCATCCTTCCCATCCACTCGTTGTTTGCGACTTTTTCGAGAGGGAGAGACACGGGGTATACGGTAGGCACTTCCACAGCAGAGTATACCTCACTCCCTGGGCGATCCATATTTAAATGGATGCTTCCATCTCCTCTGGGCCAGATACAATGACATTTGCGTTATTCCCTTCGTCCTCAGGGGCCACAAACTGGGAAGGCTCGATAGGCTCGATAGCGCTTACAGGCTCTGCGCTTGCTGGTCCGTTTCCGCTGGCGCTCCGTCTGACTGAAGAGCCACCTTGGGGACCCGACCGCGGCGGGTTCGCACACCGGTCCTTGCCATGCGCGATGCGCAAGTTCGTGTATTCTGGCTTAATCTTAATGCTGTCGATGGCCTTGATAGCGTTAGAGATATTGGTGAAGTTGACGAAGGCGCAGTTCCTGAAGATAACAATATCAGAAATTATCATCGACCGCCAGACAAGATAGCGCACTTCTCCCTGAGGAAATTGACCAGCTCAATATCCCCAAACTCGCCAAAGTCCCTCTTTAGCTTCTCCTCATTGAATAATTCAAAGTCTTCAATGCTACCCACATAAACATTCCTGGTGGCCCCTGAGTGAACAGCGAGCGCAAGACTGGGCGGCAGTGGACCAGAATTTTTGCCCCAACCAATTTTGAGTCGACGGTTGTTCAAGGTAAGGCCTTGGTAGGATGCCACTTGGTAGAACGTAAATGCTGCTGCAGGGTCAACAAAGGTGACAAACTATCACCCAAATAGATCAGCAAGTACACTCAGAACATGTCATATAAATTTGACTGACGGCAATGTGCTTGTCCTGCATGTACCTCACGCTCTGCAACACACCACCCCGAATAGCGTTGCACAAATCTTCCGTTGTTGTCTCAGGATGAATATTGCCCAAATAGACCGTGCGATTGAGGGATTGACCACCTGTCATGTCTGTTGCAAAAGGGTATGGCGAATATGGCGAACCAAAGTGATTCGGACCCGCAGCAGGGCTAAGATTGGCAGATTGAGCGACGAGAGATTGGGCGGCAGCAGCCTGGGCAGCTTGTGCAGCAGCTTGCTGAGACTTTGGTATGTATGCGCAACGGTCCTTGCCGTAGTTGACCCGCTTTCCAGCCCAAGCTGGCTCGGTAGGGAGCGTGTTAACCACCTGAATGGCCGTGTCAGCACCAGAATGTGGTGAAAAATTCAAATACAACATACCTTGGTAGCAACCGAGATACTCAAGAAGTGTACGAATCCAATGTTCTTGTCACGGACAATTTTGACCTGATCAATTAGCCCGAACCGGCTGAGATCGTCCCGTAACTGCTCTTCTGTCGTGTTTTCATCCAGACCACCGAGGTATACGTTCCGGCTGGCATTGCTCTGGCTGATCGCAAGGCTCACCTGTGCACTGACAGGAGATGGTTTCCCCCATCCGATCTTAAGTTCCTGTCCATGAAGGGAGAGCTTCTTGATGGTAGCATCAGCGTGAAACGCCGCAGCGGTTGCTCCATCCAGAAAGGACAGGAAAACACACGATTTTTCAGGAAGAACACGAATCGATTCGAGGGGCCCAAAGTGCACGAGGTTAAGTAGTTCATCAACAGAGGCGGTTGCGGGGAGGTTGCCAACATAAACGGTGCGACCAGTGGCATTGGTCGTTGCAGAAAGCGCGGCAGAAATAGCCGCCGGCGAGTAAGCACCTGGGGTCGGAGGAATGTTGACATTTAAAGAAGGTAGCCGAGATTGCTACAAGACACATATGAGATTAGCAATGTGACCCATTTCCGTGTCCACAATAATAGGATGTACCTGACCATAGTTACCAGCTTGCGCGCCGTAGGGAAACCCGCCCAACATGTTCATTCCGGGCAATCCCATGCCAAGCATGTTGTAACCAAAGCCTCCATATGGGCCTACACCGTTTGACTGAGGCGCATGCTGTTGCTGTTGTTGTTGGGCAAATGCGTTTTGGTGTGCGGGGCTCATTTGAGGGTTCATGCCTGCACCATTAACAGCAGTGTTAATCGTAAGATTCGGAGTAGAGTAAAGCTGATTGGAAAAGGCAGGAGATGAAGGTTGGAAAGGCTGATTGATCTGGGCATGTGGACCATAACCATAGTTGGCAAAGGCGTCACGAGTAACAGTAGTAGGTGCCGCAGCGGAGGTAGCAGAAGCACTAAATGTGGGGGACCAACGTGCCTTTTTGGCATCAGGACCACCGACGGCATCCATAGACCTCTGTTTGACGGGTCAACTGTGCGATGATGAGACTGTAAAAAAGACAGACCTTCATCATGTCGAGTTCAAAACCGTAAGAATGGTAGTGAGTTGCAAAAGCTGTTTGGGAGTCGTCCATATTTCCGGGTATGAGGTAGGAGAATTAAATGGATTGAGAAGGAGAGCAACGGCGGAATGTATGTATTGAAAAAAACCGAGGACCAAGTTAGAAAGGGTTTTGCAAGGTATAATGAATGATAGGGAGGTAGAGAGCGTGGGTAGGGCAGAATGCTGTGATGTACTGTCGTAGTACTTGTAGTACTCGTAGCCTGCCCTGTGCAAATGAGAGTGACTGATAATAAAAAAACACGCACAAAAAGATGAGCGAAGAGTGCGATCTGATATAGATAAACTTGCGTTAACGAAGAACTGAACAGAAACGAGTCGGGACAAGTCTAGCACGAGAGCTAAGCTAGAAACAAGTCCAAGACAAGATCGTCTCTTCAATTCACGGCCCCAACGAAATAATAAACAAAGATCGCAGGAACGCGGGCGACGACGAGCAGCACCAAACGTGAATCAGAAGAAGAAAAAAAAACAACCAACGACAAGCGAATTCGAACGATGTAGCGGAAGAACTAGTTTTTCACATCAATATCTGACTTTCCCACATAACGACGCACGGACCCATCGTTTCACGTTCATCATGACCTTCATCACCGAGGTCAAATATGCAGATCGCCGGGTTTGTGAAGAGAAGGAAGGCGAGCTTTATCAAAATTTCGAAGCCTAGGATGGTATCAGGTAAATTCGAACAGTTCGCTAGGAATCAGGATTCAGGCTCGTCGTCTTCTCATATCAGTGAGGTTTTACCTTCCTCCGTTTAAAATCACGGCAGGTTCTGACCACGGACAAGCACAATGAGCCTTGTAAGGTAGGATTTTCGCAGTCCAGGCTAACAATTGCTCCAAGTGATGGTACTCGGAAGTTCGGTTTAGGTTCAGGTACCCTCGTCTTCTCGACCTGAGGTGTAACATCCCTCTGTAAAATGGCGTAAAAATGCAGCATGTTCTGATCATGGAACAATATTATGAGCTAAGGTGAAATCTTTCGCAGCCTAGGCTGACTTTTGCACAAGTAATGGAATCAGAAAGGTCGCCAGGATTCGCTCCTTATTTACAACCTCTCATGACCTAAGGTATGATCTCCCTCCGTAAAATACTCTAAAACCGCGGCAGGTTCTCATCACGGACAAATCCTGAGGTAGAAATTTCGCAGCTCCATCAAGTGACAGTACAAGGTAGATTCGAGAAGTTTGCTAGGATTCATGCTCAGACTCAAGCTCGTCGTCTTCTTACTCCATAACAGGTACAACCCCTCCGTTTGTTGTTCTAAATTCGTGGCAGATTGTTATCAATAGCGATCCCCCGCGCTAGCACGCTTATATCTCTACGAGGTGTGCAAGCAAATCGAACTGCAGTCGACGAGGAGCTCTGTCCGCTTTCATCGTAGCGAAAATAACGGGTAGTGGTATTTCGTTATTCTCGTCAGGTTCGACTTGGAAAGGCCAAACCTGCACACAGGTCTACATAATGAATGCGATCACGACATGATGCTATTCCTTCCGGTACAATCGGCCCCTCACAGAAGTCGGCACTTTCACAAAACTTGTATTTCTAGCTACTTGATCACCAAATTCTTAACATGGATGACAATCTGATACAACTCATTACGAGGTTGAACGACAACATATGATGTAGAATTGAATGAGATAGTTGAAAGCGCCGAAGTCATCTGCCAATATGTGCCGTGACGGGGGTTTCAAATATAGCACACTGTTATAGGTGCATTCTGCGCTGTCAATGTACATAATGGTCCCCATGGTGGTCCAAGCTGACGTCCAAGTCTCACACATTCCCTTCAGCACTAAAATTTGGTCTGTACTTGCTCGTTCACTGCCCTTCCTTCGAGCTCACTTTGAAACTGTAACATGCTGTGACTTTCTGGGGTGCCGAATATTGCGGATAGTACTAGCTATATATTACTGGGTGCTCTTTATTTTATTGCCACGCTATCTCGTAATGATCCACCGGCACAACGTGTTTCGAGTGACATCTCACGTTATATCAACGCCAGCTATCATGGTTGCTGCGCGATAGGATTGTACTAAGCACCGCAAAGAGTACTGGCAGCTGATTTCTCTTTGAGTGACCGGTGTACTACATATGTAGTTCAATGCCGATGGATACCTTCATATTCTCCCATCGACTTTTTTCATGTCGTCCTCCCAGCGGTTTTCTCTTCTCAATTCATTGCCGTCCACCCTAGAGCCGCAATGGCCTCAGGCTAACGAATCACTCATATTGGAACCATTTTCATATATTACATCCAAGCCCGGTGAAGACATCCGCACACTGCTCATCGAGGCTTTCAACATATGGCTTGCGGTCCCTAGCCACCAACTCCAGGTCATAGACCGTGTCGTTCAAATGCTACATAATGCGAGCTTAATGCTCGATGACATAGAGGACGATGCGCAGTTGCGAAGGGGACAACCTGTCGCACACAAGATATACGGCGTCCCGCAAACTATCAACACCGCCAACTACGTATATTTCTTAGCTTATAAGGAGCTCTCGAAGCTGAGGAGACCGGGCGGGAGCGCGGACGAGGATGTGGTGAGGGTGGTAGGCAACAGCGATTTGGATTTGGTAGTCACACAGGAGCTTTTAAGTTTACACCGCGGGCAGGGGATGGAGATCTTGTGGCGAGATTTGTTGCAGTGTCCGACGGAGGAAGAGTATATCTCTATGGTCAACAACAGTGTGTCCAGGTCCCTTTTCAGCACACTCAACACTAACTGTGCTCAGAAACGGGAAGTGGATTTAGGATAGCTGTTAAGTTGATGATGGCGCACGCAACGAAGAACATCGACATGTAAGTGCTGTCCCCTATGCATGTTTCGTAATTAGTTGCTCATGACATCCTCAGCGATTTCGTCCCTCTGGTAAATATTTTCGGAGTGTATGTCCAGATACGGGATGACTACATGAACTTGCAAAGCACAGAGGTAAGCTTGCATAGCGTGTTATTCTTACCAGAAGAAATAATCCGACACGCTTTACAGCACAGCGACAACAAGAGCTTTGCCGAAGATCTTACAGAAGGCAAATTCTCCTTCCCAATTGTCCATGGAGTACGTGCGGATGAACAGAATCGAGTTGTTATGAGTGCGTAGATAATACTGATGTGCATGAATTGATTAACCGCTATCATACAGACGTACTACAAAAACGTCCCACGACACCAACCCTGAAGCATCACACAGTTGACTACCTCCGCACACAGACAAAGTCGTTTGACTACACGCTCGCGGTGATGAGCAGCTTGGAGCGGCAGGTCTGTTTGTCTTCTGTGCCTACACACTTCCTGCTGAGTTTTACGTCTAGGTCCGGGAGGAGATTGCACGCCTTGGCGGGAATCCCCAGCTTGAAAAGATATTGGATGCCCTGCATGTAGAACATGATTTACATTATTTGGGTGGGTGTGTAGATGAAGGAATTGTACCTTGAATCGAGAATGAATGTTGGACTGGTGGAGTTTCGACGTTATCTGGGGGGTGCAGGCGGCTCTGCTCGGGGCTGCATTAGTAAGCAAATGTACTTAAAAGTCGCCTCGGCCCAGCGATCTCGATCGCGCTTAAAGACTTAAGTACTTATTGATCGCTCAGTCGCGTCAGTCCCCGACTCCGTTACTTCGCATGATCACCTAGTTCATTCAATTTGTGTATCGACTTCGACATAACAATGGGGAAGGGCCCGCAGTTTCCCCTCAAATTTTGAGTTCAACATTATTTTCCCATACACAGCTTACTATTTGAAGCGAAGGACGCTGGAGGTCAAACATGGCACAGTGATACAATTCGTATGGAATTATGACCATTGGCAATTAATTTTGAATCTAATTGTATTCTTGGTGCAACTTTTAGAACAAAACACGGTTTTGATTCGGAAAGAGCTGCTTTGCGGTACATGATCATCAAGACAGCAGATCTTCCACGAACAATACAATTGCGAATGAGTACTTCTAGAGCACTCCAAACAAATTTTAAATGATCAATTTCATAATGGCCACGGTATTCTCTACGTGGGCACACGATCTACATGGCCAGGGTGCCGCATGGAGCTGGTGCGGAGGTGCATTTTTTCCAGCGGTGCATTATGCCACAATTGGCTACTCAGCGATTTATACGGGTAAGTAATTCAAGTCGCCACCTCATCAGATGAAATTGATAAAAGAAACATTGAGTTAGAAAGCGGCAAACTCACCGCTGAATGAGCGGTGGAGCGGTAACCGATAGTATGGTTCGACTTGCCAATGCATATGCTGATCACGCAGTGACAGCTGGTATAACAATGGCCATTGATACTAGAATGTTGCCGATCCAGTTTTTCTTCCGCCGTATACCTTACTTGAGATGCCTTCTCAAACAAGAGCATTGTTCGAGCTCACCAGACTCCACTGGTTTCCAGTAGGGTGCGACTTTATGTTCTGGCCTTTCGGTGAGATGAAAGATGGAAGATGATGCAGCGTGCTTGTTATTTAACCATGATTTGTGGCATCGTGTCTAGGTTGGGCCTTCCTATCTGTAGCCTATCGTCTGGCGTTACCGGTGAACGAAGTTATCAAGACTACTTTATTTTTTGCATTGCTGGGCATACTGGTGCATAGCGCAGGCTGTGTTCTAAATGACATGCTTGATTGCGATCTTGATCGCAAAATCGGTAGGTCTTAGTCCAATCCCGATTGCAATTTTTTGACATGTCCGATACGAAATAGAACGCTCACGGGGTCGACCGATCGCATCAGGAGTTGTCAGTAGGACAAAGGCTTCGATGCTTCTGGCTGCTCTCATTGCCCCCCTTTTCTACTTGTTTTCTACTTGTGGCACCAAAGCGTGAGTGGATCAGTCAAGAAATGTCGAAACTTCTCTGACAGACTATTCAAGTTTCACACTCGGTGTCGTTGCATTCCCCGTTTGTATCGTGACGTATCCGCTGATGAAGCGTTGGATGAATTGGCCCTCTTTGTTCCTCGGTATGACTTTACGTTGCATGGAAAAGTATTCCCCCTCATCTTGTTTTTAAGGCTTTGCTACTAGCTGGGCCGTCCCAGGAACGTGGGTCACAATGACTGACCATTATAATTGGGGTATGATCTTGAACATAGCAATTGCGTCGTGCTGGTGGGTGCCAAGGAAGGCAACTTTCGTTTCTGTCATGCTGACGATACTTCCTTAGCTGGACTTGTATCTACGACACCATTTACGCATGCCAGGTAGCCATTTGAAAGATTCTTGCACTCAGAGGCATGTGCTAATCATATTGCTCAGGACATAAAGTATGATGAGAAGGCCGGAGTCAAATCCATGCCAGTCCATCTGGGCAAAGCCATTCGTCCTGTATTGACTTTATTCGATGCAACCTTCTTTGTATGTCTTTTGTGGGCTGGTTACTTGAACGACCAGCGCCTTCCGTTCTACATGATGAGTGTCCTTACCCCGTTCCTCCTGTGTCTCTGGCACATATGGTCTTTTGATCATAATGATCCAGGAGATTGCTGGAAAAAATTCACGGTGCGTCTAGCTGCCATAGCCATATACCATAATTTTGATATGCATGGTACTCCAGGCCGGTCGCCACGGCGGGGCGATGGTTTGCGTTGGATTGATTGTTGATCACCACTTCAAACTCTTGTCCAACGCTGGTTGAAAATCCAATTTCATTCATTTTTGCTGAGTTCTTTGTACATGATTATATTTTGGAATTCAGTTAGGATTTATGTAATTGCAACAAATGTAATGCTAGCTCGCCGCCAATGGTACAGTGACCTGGTATTTAATCGCTATTAACACATGAGATGTTTGAATGTATATCCGTGCGCAAGTAATTATCGCCAGAAGCTCAAGGGTTGCCCTGTCCGAAAACTCATGTCCGACCACTTTGTTCCTGGGGACAAAAGCGTGAAGACCGCTACTTTTTCAAATATGACTACTGATCGGCATCCATCGAGAGCGGTGATGACAACCGCCTCAAACATTTTATAACATAATCGTACCTGCGCAGTTTGCGGCTACCTCGCTACAAAGGAAGACGATCAAGACATTCTATCCCCACCCACCGCGGAAACAAAAGCGTCTTCCGCTCCTTCAAGTTGACCAGTCATTCTCAGGGTCAGACTTACGTGGAATCACAAATCTTCTTGGGTATGGACACCTGTGAGGTTCATTGTTCACCCCAGCCTACCGTTCTCAACGGTTGCCGAGAATTATTGGTTCTCGCATTCGATCGCGGACAGTGAGATAGCTTGCATTCAAATTGAAGATGTTACTCGTCTTAAAGACCATAAATATCTCATCCATCTGCTTGGTACGGTTGGGAACTTGGGAGGATAAGATTGGTGAAGCATGCATGGCTCGATAGCTGTGGAAGTCAACCAGCATCCTGTCGTCCTCAGTCTCGAAGACATGGCAAGACATTGAGCAAGTTACTTGAAGTCTGAGTCTCCGTGAAAGCCTTAGAACGAATGCAGATTGGTGATGGACGGCCAACAGCATCGTCGACTGGAGTGATAAGCTAGAGAGGGTAGACAAAGGTGTTATGCCAACTGGGCGGCCTGGCTTCGTTGAAGAGATCGATATGATTAATATTGATTGAGATTCAGTGAGTCCATCAGGGTGGAATATTGATGCACTTTTGAGCATCAGGAAGTGTAGCCTCGATCGTACGGTGGTCAAAACTACTTTTTCTTTTTGGGAAACCTACTGTTCGTACTAGTAGGGTGGTGTGGGAGGGTGTGGGACTCTACCTGGTTCCGCAGGGGCTTGAATAGTTTGATATCCACTATAACCTCAGGTCTAGGCCGTCACGGACCCTGTCTTTGCTTCCAGGTGGTGTTCAAGTTGTTGTGACTACGCTGTGTTCTGGTCCAGTGTGAGATTATTTTCTGTTTACATAATTGTAGACATTTGTCTATGTCGTTAGCGACGTTTTCCTCCGAGTGTGTTATCTCACTGGCACACGTAGTATTGTTCTTTCACATCTTAGTGTGTCCATATGGAGTGTGCAGATCCTGATACTAAGATTCTTATTAGGTGTAATGCGCCCCGTCTGTGGGCAGCTTTCTCTTTGTCACCGGTACTAGTGTGGTGACCACATCCGAGGATCGTTCCGTCAGTGGGAGGGTGTCATGCGCTGCGTTGTGCTGGCCACATGTTCTGGGTGAGTTTCCATATCGTTTTTTCGGGTCGGGTCGTTGCGTTCCGTCAGTAGGTGTTCCATTGACTCGACATCCTCTCTGCATGCATGTATCCAATTTGGTGGTGATGCGTTCTAACGCGTAGTGATTGACGTCAAAATATTTTTGCCATAGTAGAAACACAGTCGAAAAGAGCCAAAAACGCTCACAATACTTTTTGCCGACTTCTGCGGCCTGCCATTCTACCAATTGTCGCTCTAACCATTTCATCAATTACCATGAGGCTAATTCTTCACTACACCCTCGCAATGAGCTACGTGGCAGGTTCCCAGTCACTGATAGCAGATTGGCAACTTGCATGCTTAGTCGCAGAACGTTCAGTGCACGAGTTGCCGCCACGTCTGCATGCAGTGCAGCTGGTTATGTCTATGAATAGAGTGCGTTGTATCTCACCAGTGGCTAGCTGGCCAACTTACCAGAGTCATTTTAGGGTGTGTTTATGAACTCCGAAAAAATGTACCGCAAGCATCGTTTCCAAGATCAGATCCGTCAGATGGCATCACATCTAATCTCCATCCATAGTTTCAAGAACCTGTTTGGATGTATACTGTGACGGGTTCTCGAAGTGCGACTTCTTGGGACCACATGACACACTTATGAATGATTGCGAGACCGCTTTGCGGCGAACGCTCCCGTCGGTGGTCGGAGGCAGGACCAGCACATTCAAATTTCTTACTACATTTAACTACATCAATGCGATTTTTTCTCTCTCTGCATCTATATCTCCAATGTCGTCCTCCCAGTTTTCTCTGCTCAATTTGCTCTCGTCCACACTAGACTCGCAATGGTCAGAAGCGAACGAATCACTCATATTGGAACCCTTTACCTATATTTCCTCCAATCCTGGCAAGGGCATCCGTACACTACTCCTCGAGGCTTTCAACATGTGGCTTGCAGTACCGGGCGACCAGCTCAAGATAATAGACCGTGTCGTTCAAATGCTGCATAATGCAAGTTTGATGATCGATGACATAGAGGATGACGCGCAGCTGCGAAGGGGACGGCCTGTGGCACATAGGATATACGGCGTCCCGCAAACTATTAACACAGCTAACTATGTGTATTTCTTGGCCTATAAGGAGCTCGCGAAGCTGAGAAGACAGTGTGAAGATGGGGATGCGGTGAGGGTGGGAGGCGCTAGGGATTTGGATTTAATAGCCACGGAAGAGCTTTTGAACTTACACCGTGGGCAGGGGATGGAGATCATGTGGCGAGATTTATTGCAATGCCCAACGATGGAAGAGTATACTTATATGGTCAACAATAGTACGTCTATGCCACTTTGGCATATCACACTTTAATTTTCAGTATGCAGAGACTGGCGGTGGTTTTAGGATGCCTGTCAGGCTGATGATGGCGCTCGCAACGAAGAACCTTGAGGTGTGAGTCTTCTCGCTTTAAGCATTTGTCGTAAATAGCTATTCATGAAATCCTTAGCGATTTTATCCCTTTGGTGAACATTATTGGGGTGTACTTCCAGATTCGGGATGACTACATGAACTTGCAAAGTACAGAGGTAAGCTTGCCATCTGCGTGCGCTTGTACCTCCAGTGTCTATCAGCAAGCACCATCTGGTTGCAATGCATTTTGAGGCACTCATGGTCCATGCGTACTTTATGATCCAAACCAGATGAAAGAAACTTAAAGATGTTATCCAGTACAATGACAATAAGGGTTTTGCAGAAGATCTCACAGAAGGCAAATTCTCCTTTCCAATTGTTCACGGAGTCCGTGCGGATGATCAAAGTAAAGTTGTGACGAGTGCGTAGATCCAGCGTCTAGGTGCATAACCTGATTAACCACCGTTATACAGGTGTGCTGCAAAAACGTCCTACCACACCGACTCTGAAGCACCACGCCATCGACTATCTGCGGACGAAGACAAAGTCATTTGATTACACGCTTATGGTCATGCAAAGCTTGGAGCAGCAGGTTTGTTGTCCGTTGTACCTGCACACTCACAGCTGAGTTTCTGTTTTGTAATTCAGGCCCGAGACGAGATTGCACGCCTTGGCGGGAATCCCAAGCTCGAGATGATGCTCGATGTCCTTCATGTGTAGACATGATTTGCGTGGAATAGAGATCAAAGCCTTCAACTCAAGTCAAAAACAAAACTTGGACTTGTAAATACTGACTACGTCTTTGAAGAAGTGGAATTTTGTAGTTACCCAGCTAGTCACGAATCTGAATGGTGTTTCCGAATGTATCGCAGTTCGTACATATCATGTTTTTGCTTTATTGACCAATGTGTACTCTTTCCCCACTGACAAGGTGGGTGGCGCGAGTGCGGGTTTGATCCGATACCAACAATGAGCGCTGAACATGCAGCATTCCAAAAATATTCGCGGGATGTTAGGCGAGCACGTTGGCAGATATGGTTTGAACTCCGCTGAGAGTACCATTAGCTGTCGTAGTGTCCCAGACTTTGGCCCAGACGCTCATGTCATAGACCGATCAAAATTCAAATCTCTTCTGCAAAAATCGGGGAATAGAATATGCAACAGAAATGATCATGAGTGGGGACTCAACTCGATCATAAGCAGCAGGGTCAAAGGGAAATGTAGGCGATGGTGTGTGTATCATGGACATTACAACCGACCTCGTCAGCCCATCAGGCATCAGGGGGGTCAGTTCGAGTGAGACAAACAATCTCCATCGTAGTCTTGTTCAAGGCAGAGTGCCAGTGTAGATTTTCGAGGGTGCAGCCAATACATGTTTCTCATTTCCCAGAAAGTATCGGCGCCAATGGAAATGAAGAAGTTGGTTCGTTCAAATGACTCGGTCGGCTGTTTGATGTTCGACTTCTGCTCTGCAACCATCATCATCTACCACTGTGATGCCTGAACAGACCTGGAAACGGCTGAATTGCTCTGTTGGACAGTACCTTAAGATTGTGCTGTTCAGAGTCCAGACTCAAAAGTATGAGGAACTCAATAATATTTGAGGTGAACATGGATATAGATGATTCAGATGGTACGACTGTCCTACACGATACTGGCACGCTTTTGCGACTTGCAACAAGTACAAAGAGTTGCAGTTCGGCCTTGACACTACTCGTCGTAAACTATACTTGCCGGGCTCCTATTACTGATTGAGAGGACAGTTAATCATAAAACTATGAATAGGGCTTACCGCATTTCAACACCCTTTGCGACGTTCTATATCAGCGGAGAAGTGGATCGATGAAAACAAGTGCGAACCTTTTCCTCCCAACTGATCTGTGCTTTCAGTTCTGTGTGGCCAAATAAAATGATGACGTCGAATTCAAACTCGTAATACTTCGATTGATGTAGAGCCGATCTTTTAGGACGAAGTGTTCGGGATAGCTCGTGGAGGTCAGCATGAATCGTGCATAGCGTGGTAAATGAGGCTGAATTGAATCAAGTCAGTATGAGTATACTTAAGCCGCGAATAACTCATACATGGTTCAGTGTCCAACCACCGCGGCTCCTGGAGGGCACTCTTGTAACACATTATGTCCGTGCTGTGACTCTTGCATGCAGCAAGTGATTTCCGGGTGGCTTTAAAGGACTTCCGAAATTCGCGTTGCTCAGATACTTGTGTTCCCTGTAAAGCAGATCAGCATGTACCGAATGGTTGGATGTGTTGTATTCACCTTCAGCAAGATACTCTCAAAACATTCCGGGATATACGTTCCGCCGTCCATATCGATGACGCCCTTATGTTGTCGGACCAGGTGTTCAGGATCTAGAAAGTTGTACTCTGTACAGCATTCAACGCCATAAGTGGCGCGTGCAACTCGAGACGACACTAGGTGGTCGATGTAGAATGAAACTGCCCCATCAGCAACAGCTTTATTGCTGCAGTTGCCTGATCAGTAGAAGTAGTCACGTTGACAGTTGAGGGCTTACGCATGAGCATGGGGGCGACAGAAGCTAATGCCTAGGGGTAGAAAATATTCCTGGAGTCTCGCGAATAGCCAGTCGCTGGCAGCGAAACCGCCAACCAAACAAACCAACTTCATGACGATGTCACGATCCGTCCAGTATATGAGCGAAATATGACGCTCACATTGATTGGAATCGAGGCCGCGCGTCTCTGCTGCTCAAAAGCCTCGATAATGGCTTCGATGGATGGTTCAAACAAGTCGGCAACGTCCTGGCTGTACAATAAAGCATAAGTATCGTCATGAAGGTATCCTAAAGAATACGGACGAACCCGGCCAATTTCAATTGCCCTGACCGAATGCCGTACTTGAGATCCTTGTCAAGGATAGTACCAAATTTAATGTAAGATGGTTCATCGGGCTTACGAAACCGAAGTTTCGTGCTGTTGTCGAAGGTTTCTGCCATTTGTGCGATAATCGTGGAGTCGGAGTACTTCGAGCCCGAAAGCTTCCCTGATCAACCAAACGACCATCAGTTTTGGGTTCCCTGTATGATTGATGCATTCACAAACTTTGTAACAGAGTAGTGGCACGAGTAGTAACAAGGACTGAGCCCTGCAAGCAACCTGAGTGGGCTTCAGCAAGGGAGCAACACAGGAAAGTGGTGCTCACATTCAGCTGGGGCAATCTCCTCGAAAGAGGTCGGAGATAGCCTCATTGAGTAAGCGCTGAGATCGATGGTTCCACCTCCGGCATCAACAATAATGACTCCCTGGTTGTCAGATTGATCTTCCTCGTCGTCAGAGTAACCTGACACATCTATAGGGGTTTTGGAGAATGTATCTGATGCAATCACGTTGGTAACACAGAAATGAAGACTCGCTTCGCCCTCAGTCAAGAGGTGCACGTGTGATTGCTCCTCTTTAGATGATATGAGGCCAGCGAGCTCGATAGCGCGTCTAATTTGTTGTTGTTGTTGGCCTTCCCAACCGTTGGGATGCGTGAATACGAACTCGATGGAGTTCTTGATCGATCTCCAGAAATCCAAGTGTGATTCTTGGATATAAGTTCGAGCGCATTGGAAGAGGTAGCGCATGAAGTCGGCGAGGACTTCTACTGCGGATTTGCCTCGTGGGAGAGGTTTTATATCGCCATCTCGTATGTGAGACGATGCCAGATGCTTGGCGCGAAGATGAAGTTTCCACCTGACCAAGATTAATGTATAGCCTATGTTTTACTCTCGACGATATACATACCATACAAGCTTCAACCATCCCTCGTCTTCTGCCTGTTCCTTGATATGCTCCTGCAGAGCCTCAGCACCCACGGCTCGGACGTTTCCCTGAAGGTCGTAGTAAAGAATTGATGGAATTTTGGAGTCACCTCCAACATGTTCTTGCGCAGGATATCTGTAATCCCACCATGAGCCAGATACATGCAACTTGAGCCAGCTACTGACCTTGCTACTCCTCGAATTACAGGCACCTCCCCCGGATCTAGCATACAATACGAGACTCCACTGAACGTGGTCCCGACATCAAATGCAAGCACTAGCTTTCGCGTTGAGCCCTTATACGGTTCCCGTGGAAGCATAATAGTAATCTGAAGGCAGGCAATTCATGTATCCAAGTTTATATGCAAAAGGACATGCTTTACATTTCAGAGGTCACATACCAAGTTTGGAGGCGCAGATCAAGGCGTGTGTGCCTCGTGCCGCAATTGATTGTGCTATGATAGAGCAAACGCATGTTGCATCTCCTATAACCTGTTCTGAACAGGACAGAGCTTCCAATTTGGAGCCCTACGCCCAGTTTCACTCACTGTGAAATTTATTTAAGTTCGGATCTATGTGCATGAGCGGCTTCGAAGTTCGAAGCTTCAACGTTTCAACGTTAACCCTGTGTACATGCATTCGACAGCCATTGGCAACGACTTTGTGTTGCCCGCACTGCCATTCAGCCAGGCGTACACGGCCTGTTAGCCCGTAAGTGGCTTGAATTGGGTTGTGTGGTTGAGACATTACCTGAAGCATTGATTGAATAGTATTGTCGTCAGATTTGAGGCACTGCAGCTTGAAGTCATCGAATCTGGTCAGTGCCAGTGAAGTTTAGTTTATCACCAATTTTATGACTGACGTTGACCTCTCTTCTCTTGCAGAGACTTGCATTAAGTTGTTACATAAAGTGATTTGCAACAGCGCGAAGTGATTATACTTACCGTACTAACACGAACTTGCCTGCCCTAAACCAATGATGTTGGTTTTTCACTAGCACTCCGAGAGGCCCCCGGAAGCTCCAACCAATGTACCCCCGCAAAATAGACACTGTGGACGAATTTCAGGCCTATCCGGCTATTGCATTATTCACGTTCTTCAGGGCAGGTTTATAGGACACTTGTCCAGCGGTGAACCCTATTCCGACCTGTCCTGACTCAAATACACGCCCCCTCAAACGCCTCACAAAACAGCTTCTCGTCATCATGCTTCCCAAAGACCTTAAGCATCAGATCCGGAAGATACGAGGTACCGAAATTACACATGCCGACATTCAGGCTCTTCTTCCTTCTGAAAGCCAGAGAAAGATCACTGGTACAAGTATCAATGCATACGACGCATGCACGGAAGACATGCATGAAGACAGAGATTTCTGTATATTTAATTCGTGGATCGTGCCAATCGCATCTGGCCAAGTAAAATCAGGGATTGCCTAATTGCCGCCTACCATCAAGATTCCAGCGAGGGGGGCATGAGAGACCGAGACATAGTAGTTGATCTATTCTAGTAAACTTATTACATTTGATTGAGATACTATTATATGTGCCTCTATTAGGGCGTGACATGGGTCGACCTGGGTCATACCTGCACCCAACCCACGGGTACCAAAAATTTCAGAGGCCTACCTGTACCTGCATGGGTAAGAGCATCGCAGGTATGGGTCAACCTGCGACCCAACCTGCAGGTGGTACGGGTCACCCACGGGTGAGTAGACATATTTTGCGATACTGGTATGTACATGTGCTGAGGAGCGAAAACACTATGTACGAAGCTTAGTCCGAGTCAATAACAATATCATTGCTCTTTCCCTTTCCTGAGGCCTTGTCTATGTGTAGCTGTTAGCTTTCGTGTTGGCACGTGCAAATCAGATGTATTTATCAATGACATAGGCTGATTTTACAGAAAGTAGTACGGGTATATGAGGCTTTTTGGGCTTGAACCTGAAGGGTTCGCAACCTGAAGCATCGTTTTGGAATCTGAAAGAAAGACCATGATGAGCCATGATTCCCAAAAACTGGAAGGAGCCCTGCGACGTGTTAGGCACAGCATGGACACCCGTTCGGAAGGAGGAGGGTGAGATAATTGAGTGATTGCTTACCTCTTAGTGCGCCAGAGGCATGGTATATCTGGTGAAAGGTTCCAGTGCTGGAGATTCTTGGAGATATGGAGCTAATATCAATGCGTGCTTCCGCAGGTAGCCTGTGAAGGCCTTGCTAGACCACCTCCCCATGGTTTTTACGACGTCGAATGGGATCCCGCGAAGCAGATATTCTAACGTCCCTCCGATTCTCAATCCGTGGCCTTTGAGATCTCCTAGTCCCGCTCTTTTCACTATGCCTCCGATTCTCTTCCAGAATTCGCTTCTAGTAAGCGGCCTCGATCCTTTATTGTGTTTCCATGCGAATAAATGATCTTCGAGTCACAGGTTGTTCACTTCAAAATGATTCAGGAGAGCTGCCATTGGATCTGCTAAGTTCTCTTGATGCGCCCAGTAAACACCTTCACCAACTGCAGACACTTTCGTGCGTGGTAAGAAAATTCTTGTGGCCCAAAAACTGTGCCGGTCTTCAACGTCAAATTCTACGTCTGAACGTTTGACATTGTTCTTCGGATCGAACATTTTGATAATCTTAATGGTGAGTTCTCCTAGCCTACACAGAGCGTAAAATGCGCTCGTTAAGCATGCAAATACAGCTGCGTCTAGGGGAGTTGTTAAGTTGAGGTGAGATCGGATGATTAGGATGAGTTTGACTGTGAACGGTTTGCGTTTGCTTCGCTTGGATGTGGCCGGCGCAAGTTCCACTGTGCCTTCTAGAGCTGCCTTTAGTTCGTCTTGTTGAACTAGCCAGGGTTGACCATGGAGCGTATGCCATGCCCTTATCGCGTAGACGTAGTTCATTAGCATTTTTCCAGAATACGAACCTGCGCAGCTTGAAACGAAGTTCAAAAGTGTTCTCGTATCCACTGGGCATCTCTGGCTTTCTGGGACTTTCCTTTCATCACAAAAGATGTGGAATACCAGCAGCCCTGCGCCATAACACTCCCGCGTTCCTACTGCCCATGACAGGTTCATAACCGTTAACACTCTTTCTAGATCTTCTTCCGAGATGGCCAAGATTCTCCCATCTGTGCCGATGCTGCCTGCGACTCCAATGGAAACCACAACTTTAGTCTCTCTCGAGCTAAACAATGGGGACGGAGTAATGATGGAATCGGTGTGAGTCCATTTTTGTAAGGTAAAGGAGTCACAGTATGTGCTGCGGGAATTGGTGCTCTGAACTTTGGATTGTTAATTATTGGCCTGTTGGTGTTGGTGTATGAAATAGATTGAGTCTCCGTCGAATTGAGGTTTGTTGCTTCATTCTGCATTGGAATGATTACGAGAAGAGAGGTTGCAGGAGAGGGACGAGAAGTCGTCTGTGCTGTAGTCTGCTGGGTCTGTGGATACGATGAAGGGGTTGACGATGAAACGATGGAGTTCAGTGGCAATTGGGAGGGAAGGCAGCAGGAACTCTGAACTTCCGTAGATTCCTCTAGATGGTCCATCCGCTGGGTTGTTCTTACTTTCGACGTAGGTTGGGTGAATTGAGTAAGGTGTGGGGGAATTGTAGATATAATCAAAGATTCGCTTGAAGACAGCATTGACTGAAGCGTTTCTACTCCTTCCATTACACCAGCCTTCAATAACACCTTGGTTGTTGCCGTAGACCCTAAAATGCCTTTGCGATCCTCCCAAGCCAATAATGTGTTGAGTAAGCAGTTCAAATCCGACAGCTTCGGCCCATCTGATATCTTTCTGACCGTTGAGGGTTTGCCAACCTTTCCGAAGTCTCCACGCTCACCATCTGTTCCCAATGACAATAGCAATTCCAATGCCCAAGCTGGCATCTGAATATGCTGCTGGGTCATGGAGCGACAAGGGCCTAGGTATTGTCCTTCCGACAAATGGGCTCTGGAGAAGCATTTTCCACCAGGTGAGGTCCGCTTCCAGGGTTTTGACCGGTCTCCGTGGGAGAAAGGGCTTGTTGAAGGTGAGGTGTAGCATAGCCTCCAAGGACGTAAGATGCACGCGGCCTTGCGGGATAATAAGTGACGTGTGCAATAATTTACCGTATAGTTGCTGCACATCAAGAAGTGCGTGTGTGCCATGCTGCTGCCATACCCCGATCGCCAAAAGATATTTCTGTTTCTTCTCCTCGGATAGGTATACATTATCTTGTGCCAAGTCCCACATAAATCCGATGTACAAGTTAGAATACGTGAGAGGTTTGTCTTTAAGCTCTTCCCATGGGATCTTAAGGTCGAATGATACCTCATCAATGTCAGTGATGTTGCATGAGAACCGTGCATCTTCGGGTGTTCTCGGTGAAGCTTCTGAAAGGTCCACGATAGGAAAGCGACAGTCTTCATCGAAAACTTCCAACGTACCATCCTCAAAGATATGACCTCCATACCATACTCTGCCTCCGTCCTGATGCTGTCCTTTCGCTGTGATTTCCCGATGCCATTTCCTCCTTTCCTCATTGTATGATGCAATGTACTCCTTGAGGATGCGTATAAAGAGATGGTCATCGACCCATCTCGAAGCCGGTCTGATGCCTTTTGATCGAAAGATGTCCAGTCCGGCATCAGCAAGAGTACCATATGCTCCAGCTGAAGGACGCAGTCCAAAACACATACAAGTATCGATGCAAAAAAGATCATCAGAAACTCGCACCACCGAACCTGGCCATTGTGACGCGTGAATCAGAACTGTGTGATAGGCTTCGGAAACATCCCGAATTGCCATTTGCGAACCCGGCGGTAGCTGACTGATGGTGAGTGCGAGCACGTGAAACGTGCCCCAAGTACTTGGGAAATTATCTGGATTAATATAAGAGTTGATTGAAGCGTTTGGAAATCTTGCTGAGAGAGCGTGAGGAAAGGAATAGTTTTGTATGACACGATAACGACCAGGTCGCCCTGGTTTGGGTATAATAGAGAAGGGAGAGGTTTGAAAAGGTCCAACAAGGCTTTTGACTTCATTAAATTTAAGCGGACCAACATATTGTCCTTTCTTAAGTTCGGTTTACACAATAGAAAGAAACTCTTGTCGATATACAGAAATGGATTCTTTGTTAGGAGACGCCTGAGTGACTTTAATATTAGGAATGTCCAAAGAAAAACTGTGGCGAAGACCGTCAGGAATATGTGGATATCTATCAATAAGACCAGTTGCGACCAATTGTGCTTCCCAGGCCTCCGGGTCGTATGGGGTGAGCACTTTAAGCTTTCTGAGCTCAAGGACATGTTTGAGCGCCGTGAGACGTGATGCCGCATCCTGAACAAAAATGCCTTCAGTTGTGTGTGACTTCGGCACAACTGCTGACTCTCTGCCAGTCGCTGCAAATAGCTCTTCCGTCTCGCATTGTGAGAATTCTGCCGACTCGCGAGCACAGAGTGTCGAAGGATTCGTCCCAAAGCTTGACTGCTTTGCATTCGATGATTTTGTGAGGATTCCATCCCAAACATACGGCACAAGCGGAGAGGACACCTCCGCTTGTGCCTGCCCGAAAATCCTGGCGAGGTCTCTTGTGCTTGTCGCCTTGCTCAGGTGAGGGCGAACATTTGCGCGACTCTTTGTAGTCACGTGGTCTCAACAACGAGGAGACTCGTTGATCCGACTGTTAGGGAACAAAGATGCATGTGGCGCGAGGCATTTGTTGTGAAGCATGTAGCGTAGAGGTTGTAGCGTGAGGCATGTGGCATAGAGCCAGTATGATGAAGCATGAAGCATATGTTTTGAGGCATAATTAAATGCAACAGACAAAATATAATGATCTTTGATGAGCAACATTCAAAACATCAACGATAATGAAGGCTGACCTTGTAGTCTCTCGCGTTATCTTTCTTGAGCCGATCCTCCCAATATACTCTGCTTCTCATATCCTCTAATACTTTCTCATTGACAACCGATATATCATATGGGCCAATTGAAGATTTGGCTGCTACGTGCCAGCGTTTACGCTGCTCAGCTTGATATACCAAGAGCGTCTTCTGAGCTAACGGATCTCGGAGAGAGCGATAGCTGTGAACTTGCAAATTCCTCCAGAATAGTGCAGTCATTCTGATCCTGTCCTGAGGCCAACCTGCTTCTTCTATTGCCGTTAGAAAACGGGGACATGCTTGACAAAATTCTTCAAACAGTAGGTTCTCGTCATTGATTATGGAGCGCGCACGCCGTGTTGAGGCTGACGATATCCACGCTGTGGAACCATCAGCTAGAGTTGACAATACCATTGCATCGTCGTCTATCGTCTTTTTAACTGATGCTTCGTCCAACCCATCATTGGTAAAGTACCAAAGCTCGACGAATTCTCCCTTGTCCAACTTGTGAAGAGCATATGAGGACAGAGTGATAGCGGGTTCATTAGGAATTCCGATGTTCTGAATTGGAATGTACTTGTACTTATTCTTTTTCTGTTCTTCCTTGCGTGCATCTTCTTCCTCGTTAGCACGTTCTTGGTTTGTCCGTTCTTGCTCTTCGTCTTCGAGATGCTGACGATGAGCCTGTTCCTCCCTGTCGTCGTTCCTCTGCTGTTGCCATCAACGCTTGTCCAAGTTGTTGCTGGCTTCCCAAATATTCCTAAGTAGTTGAATAGCTTGAACCTCCATGGTATTCTCATTGATGAGTTGCGCTCGGGTATCAACAAAGTCTTCCAAAGCATAGTCTGGGCAGACTTGTAAATTCGGGTCATTCTGGATGCGAGGCATTTAAGATATATGATAAAGCTTTAGATAGAAAATGCGATGAAACGAGCGTGTATTTGCGTAGTTGAGTACTTGCGAGTGCTAAGTGGTAGTATGAGACAAGAAGGGTGGGAAAAACCCGAAAAGCTGATCCACCACATAGACATCATTCTATGTTTGTCCTCGTTCCTCGGACTCACATAGAATACAACCTTTGCCCTTTACCATCCTTGTTCGCATGATTGATGTGACAGCACCGAGATTGTTCATGAGAGGTGTGTTGTACCATGATCCCACAGCCATCTGAGCTTTGAAGGTTTGCGAACTAACACCATGCTGGAGGTGGTTGACCTGAAGATGGCCACCTGAAAAAGCCCGCTCAGCGTCAACCGAGGAAGCTAATTGGTCTCCATCAGATTTCATCAATCAACAAGCAAGGAAAATACCTGGAGCAGACAAAAAATCAAGTGCCATTTGTGCGAGTCGTGGATGAGTGGCACGAGCATTCTCCCAGTAGCAAAGAAGACCCCCTGCAGCCAGAATCTCGGTACTTGAAATACATGGGGTGTTGAGGTATGCATCCATTGAGTCAGGATGGATGGAAGTGACATCCTCATCTTCGTTGTCACTATAGATAGCCCATTTACTAGATAAACACTTGAGCTGTGAGAAAATTGTTGTTAGTAGGACTCACACGAAGAAAATATAGCACTCACTGGAACATGACATGTCGTGGTTGAAGGAAGTGATGAAGGAAGTGTTGCATAAGACTCATCCCAGCATTGCTGAACAATTCGCTTGGCTTCCATGCGGTCGCTCTCATGCCAGTCCAGGTTTTTTTTGAACCATTCGAGCTTTTTTTCTGGGCACATTACTATATCATAATATTATAGATGAGGACAGAATGGTGTGATGGAGATGGAGACTCACTAATTGCAGCGCGACACACAATGGCACATTAGCCTTTGAGAATAAGTTTGTGAGCTCATTGAAAATCTTGAATAAGGTCAGTAAGCATTGTCATTAACAAAGCAATATGAAACATACCTCAAGGACGGGCATCAAGTGCTCAGCTAGCTTCCATTGTGCAGGTGTAAGAGCATAGTCTAGTAAATTGTTCTGTGTCATGAATAACTGGACCTCCTCCTTGAAATGGAGATGTGTGCAGAGACACGCAAAATCAGAGTTCCAGCAGGTAGGAACACGTCGATCAAGACGCCGTTTTTGACTGTCTTCACCACGTTTGTATATAACAGTCTTCTCAAACTCCTCCTGCAAAGTTGTGCTTTCATGCACTTTATGGGCTAGACCAGCCACCTAGAATAACATAAATACTTCAATGATAGAATAAAGATGTTGGATCACCTTGGGAAACAACCCGAGAGCTTCGAGTTCCTGTGACTTCGACATTATGATGTTCACCTTCCTGGCTGTTTTGATAGCTTGATCATGAACCAATTTTACAACTTCACGGTCATGAGCTTCCTTTGCTTCATCAACCTCATGGGAGTTGCCAGATGAGTTAGCATCTTCTTCAGTGCTTACATTGAGGCCAGTTGTTTCCTCGTCCAGGAGTTCCTACTCTAAGTGAGTGAGTACAGTGTTCTTGTCACCAGGTTCAAGGGTAACAATATGCTCATGATCTCCATTATCAGTACTGTTGGAATCATCATTGGTACAATGTTTTCAACTTTGCTTGGCTATCTTGACTTGTTTTTTTTCGTTTCGGGTGGTGAAAAAAGAATGATATGAATGCCTAAGTACGTTGATTAACTTCGACTCAGCTACCAAGATGATAATGGTACCTTTGCGATGAGATTGACGGTATGAGGGAAACATCGCAAACGAGAGGCCTGTCCCCGGAAGTTGGGAATGAGCCTCTGCAAATGATCAGCAGTGGTGTCACAGTTGCTAGCATTATCCATGTTTATTGTGTAAAACTGTAGCGAACATCAGACCACCGATACAATGCTGAATAACTGTGCCTCACCTTGTCTTGAAGCCTGTACTGATCAAGGTAATCAGCGATCATCTTTGTGAGATACTCTCCTGTGTGGCTTTCCTTCAGACTACCAACAAACTCATAGTAGGTAATAGTACATGCACAATACAAGTTCAACACATACCGGATAAATTCAAGTGTCACGCACCAGATTCGGCACTGAGCAAGCCACACAACTATGATGCCAAGGTATGAGTACACGAATGGTGCAGTCCAGCCATCAGTGACAAGATGGATCGAGCCAGTGTGTTTCTTAAAAAGTATCAGTATGAACTCCAATAAGTTTGATGGTGGCTTCATACCAAAAAATATTCCTTGACATTCTTAGATCCTTCACGATAAATTTCGTTGATGTCACAGGACACTGTGTGTGGAGATGGTACAATCACATCAGGGCGCAATAGTTTAACTTCCTCGATGTACAGAGGATCAGCCACAGATCTAAATGGATGCCTGTTGACAGTGCAGCGCATCACAATGAGGGCACGATGGGCCTCAGGTGTATACTTTGAAATCGAGCCGCTAAGGGTTTGCTGGGCACCCTTTGCATTCGGACCTTCAGTTGAGACACCACGACGCTGAACACATTCTTTGATGCCCCGATTGAGGTTTTTTGTCCCTTGTCTGGTTTGCATGCATTTTCTGTGATGCGGTGTAGGTTTACAACTCAGAGTGGTGCTATAGGCTCCAAACTGATATCTTTATGTTGTAGGTCGTGCACTGCCTATCTGCTATACTTGCGAAACAAGTGCGTTCGACCCTAAAGGGGAAGCTAGTGCAGCAAAGGTCTAGAAATGGACGCAGAAGGTGCCGCTTGTCAGTCGATGTGAAGCGCGGGAAAGCGGCGGGTGCGCGCGCGTAGCGTGGGAACGTAGCGGCGGGCGAAAGCCAAAGGCATGGGAAAGATGTGGCTGCGAAGCGGCCGATGCGTGAGGGGTTCGGATGATAATAGAGATGATAGACAATAGAAATAGATGTAGAGCAAGGCAATAATGGATACGATGCAAGCGGTAAACGGATACTGATTGCCAATAGCTACTAACTGTAGGCTAATGGGAGTTTGCTACTGGAACATCTGGAAAACAAGCTACTGAATGATATGTACTGCTAGTGCTTAAGTATTGCACTAAGCGCTGTCACACGGAACCGAGCCGACATGCTACTGAGTTAGGTATGTAAAGCTATATGTAAATAAGGGTCTATGACGAAATAAAGGTGATCTGATGCGAAAATGGTCTGATATGTAGATATAATCATGAAATAACATACCATTGGGTTGGTTTTGGACTATGGATGGGTGTGGAACATTGGCCGATGAAGCGCGAGAAAAGCGGCCGCTAAGCGCGGCTGTGCGTGCGTGGGAACATTGCGGCCGTCGCAGAAAAGTAGCGGCTGCTATGCGCGACTCGCAGGAAAGCTGCACTTCATATAGGAAAGTAATAGGGTGCTGAGGGATACCACAAAAATAGCCTCTAGGAGGCTGTAAGGACTTCCAGTCCTACAGCGGCTTATGGTTGACAGGGTCAGTGTGGCATGTAAATTTGAACTCAAGATAGTCTTGGCTGCCATCAACTTTCAAACGACGATGTAAGGTTATCTTGAAGTGATCATATGCAGTGGAATTCCATCTAGCTTTAGATGCAGCTGAAAGGCTAGTGAATTTGTTAATGAAATTGAATGAAGAGGGGGACATACTTATAATCTCGTCATCAGTTTTGTCCCAGACATCAAGATCCGTGACATCAGCTTTGGTTCATCATTTTTTGGTGGGAGACTCTAACACGGGAGTTGGTGACACCACTGTGCGCTTATGGCTGCGTGTGTTCTTGGCCGGTGATGCATCAAGTTCGAAATCGCTTGTTGGTGTACTGGGAGAGGCATCTGACTTGGACATGGGAGGGGTTGCAAATCGCAATGTTTGCAAGTCTCCGAGTCAAGACTCTGGACTTATGAGTTGTACCATACATGATCAGTAACCACTCAGCACTGATAATCATAATGAATCTAAGACATTGCGGTTGGTGTCGCATAGAATTTTATGAAGATAATCCATCGATAACAACAGATCATGGTCAAAGCAACACTGCCACTAAGTTAAGTTTCCTACCTGTGGGTAGCCAATTTTTGCAGGACCTCTACCAGTACCCGTTGCAGGTGAGCCACAATGGGTACCCACAACCCATACCACCCGACCCATGAGTCACCCGTGGGTGTTGCCTGGGCGGGTACCCGGGCAAACCCTACCCATGTCACGCCCTAGCCTCTATGGTTGCCACTGTTGTCACTGGTGAGCAGCGTGTCACCATCTGTCATGCATTAGCAGTGTCTTACTAGGATGTGATTGGCAATAAAAATCACCAGTTCTCACTATCCTCCACGGTCAACGGTTCAGACAAATACCAATGGTTGATAACATGATCGTTCATGGGAGGAGGTGTAAAAAGTTGGGTTGTCAAAGCAAATTTCTAATGACTTTGAAAGGGGTGAGATTAAGGTAAATCTCAGGAACAGTAACCATTAACTGGCTTGATGCAGTGCTTAGGTACTTGATGGTCAATAGTCTGTTAACTGGCTTGATGCAGTAATTAGGACACTGCTACAAGAAGATGGTTGCAAAGATATGCAAAGATAAGATGGAGATATGGATCGTGACGATATGCAATGAATCAGAGTATTATCTCATAAACACTCCCTATTCTCAAAATCAGAGGAGATCAAACTAAGCCTCTAACACAATTGAATAAACCGAAATATGTGGCTTCGAAACTAACTTCTCTGCTGCTCAAGTACTGCACGATGAGTATGATGCAGGTCAGAACAGAGTACACCCTCATGGTGTAGTCTTAAAGCAGCCAAGCTCTTAATATTGTTGAGTGAAGTGCTAGTCTTATTTGTTGTCCTTCCTAATCGTTAAGAAATACGTGAGTTCTCCCCACAGAAAAGATATCCTGTGTCATAAAGAGAATGATGAAACCACACTAGACAACTGATAACTGTGTATGTCATATCCCATATTCCAGACCTACATCCAACAATGTTCCCACGCCTCGTCCGGACCTCCGGACCCCCTGTCCATGTCCTTTATCTGTCCAGATGTCTATAGACCTGAATCCCTGTACCTGTTACGACTGGGGTATGTCGAGCTGTCTAAGTCCGAGTGGACTGAGATTCGGCGAGACAGACGTGGTTCTTCTCTCGAGTGAGAGGTCAGAGGTTTCTGGCTAAGGCAAGTATCGGCGACTTCCTTAGAATAGTGGTTCTTTAGATAGCAAGGTTGGAGACCTTACTAAAGGACTTGTTCCAGGTAAAACCCAGTAGATTAAAGTGAGGAAATACATGTGGTACGCTATGTAACTATATAGCGAGAGTTCCAGCGGAGATTGTAAGTGCGTATCAAGATAGAAGGCGGACAGCCCGCTTGGTAAGTGATAAGAGATAACAGATAGGAGATAGTAACCATGGTGCGGACAGCCCGCTTTGATAAGAGATAGCGATCTAAACATAGTGATGGTTACTGGTACGGAAGGTTAGCTTGGCGATGATATGAGTCAGGTTCTGGAAGGTGATTGGTCGTTCGTTAAGAGCCGTATGCATGTACCATTGTCCAGTATCGAAAGAGAAGCGAAGAGAATGAATATACCGTAACATTACCCCCGTGTTATGGTCGATGTCACCGGCATCGACATCACTAGTCGTCCTGGTTGGCGTAGTAGATGGGGTCGGCGTCGGCATTTTGGAACTCTAGTTCCTCCGGCTGTGCCAAATACTCTCTCTCGGCCCGTGCGAGATCCTCTTCTTCCTTCTTATCTTTCTCCGCTTCCCACGCGGCTAGTGCGTCGTAGAAGCCGTCGTCGGTATAAACCAACGGGAATGGTATCTTGGTAGTGGCGAAGGGGCAGTAGATAGAGAAGTGCCCGGGTTTCGTGTCGCCGCAAACGCGGCAATAGTACAGGGGACAGTTCTTGTGTTTGTGACCTAGCTTCTTGCAGAGTCGACAAATGAAGTTGGCGTCGGCGATAGTACCAACGATTTGTCTTAACGATGGGGTTCTGATTACGACGCTAGAGGATGGGATAGCGGGGGGATCTCCGGTGAGGTCGATGACCTCGCGCTTCTTTCCCTTGGATGACTTCTTCTTCGTTACGCCGTGAATGGCGGCTCCGCCGCGGAGGTTCCTTCTTTGGACCTCGCTGGGCGCTGGGACAGGTACAGGTATTGGTGCAAAGTTGCCTCCAATCGAAGTTGGATCAGGTAGAACAGCGGGGGGGTTATGAGTAATAGGAGGCAACGGGCGGCCGACTTGGAAGGAGTTTCGATCAGCAACAGTCTGTATAATTTCCCTGCAGATAGTGCTGAAACCAAGAGGAAATAGCTGAAGCGTAAGCGAGCGTATGCGCCGCTGAACGTGGTTGCAGGAGAGTCGGAGGGCGTCGTTTTCAATCTGGGCAAATTCTTCTTCAAGACGTTGGGTGGCTCTAATGATATGGATATATGTGGCAGCGACTCCTGCTGGCACTGCTGGCTGGTTGTTGAGATAGGTTTCGATTTCGAGGGCGTGGGCGACGGAGAGGATAGTGGTTTCGACGATAACGTCGTCTTCGATACTGACAACGTTGTCAGCGAAGGGGGATTCGCAGAGGCTGATGGAGGAGGCATTGGACTCAGTGGGAGACGTGGTTAGGTAAGACATGTTCTTGTTGGTGTGGTAGTGGGGACTGGTCGATCTAGTTCAACTTGTGCCTCTTCTTATAGGCAGAGAGTAGGTTTTCGGCGTTTTCCATGTTCTCCGCTGGGATCCATTCATTAGAGCCAGAAGAGTATCCTTTCCAGGATACGAGATAGCGTCTTCGTTTACCCGTTCCCTTGTGACTCAGGACCGCTTCGACTTCGTATTCCTCCGATTGGTTGACTATATCTGGAGGTGGTTCTTCGTAGTTCGGT